TTTATATATGTACATGTAAATGTTTGTGTATGTCTATATATATTTATATACTCATTTATTTATTCATTCATTCGTTCGCTCATTCATTTATCCGTTCATTCATTCATTCATTTGGTCGTTTGTTCGTTCATTCATTCGTTCGTTCGTTCAACCATTCATTCATTCATTCATTCGTTCGTTCGTTCGTTCATCCATCCAGTCATTCACACAGTTTCCATAGATAAGCTTAGTGTTGGAGTTAATTATTTAAATATATTTTTAACCGGATGGTTTTAAATAAAATTTTGGTTTATTTTATTCCTTTCATTTTATCATTTCCTGTGTCTATATCACACACACCACACACACACACACACACACACACACACACACACACACACACACACAAACACTAATTTTTTTCTTGTTAGTCTGTTTTTGTCTGTCTGCTGGTTTGTTTGTATTGTTTGTCGATTTTTTAGTTTGTTTGTTTCATGGTTTGTTTAATTGTTTGTTTATTTGTTTATTATTTAATTACTTTTTTATCTGATTGAAATTAAATTAAAACTTTATTCATTTGTTTCATTTCATATGTATATCAGGCAGGCTATACACTTACTCACTCAAAAACACGTGCATATGCGTAATTATTTGTTTTTTTTTGTACGTCTGTTTGTATATATGTTTGTTTTGGCTGGCTGGTTGGTAGGTTGGTTGAAAGGTTGATACTTTGGGGCTGTTTGGTTGATAGATCGGTTGTTTCGTTGGTAGTTTGGTTGGTATGCTCTGTGTGTGCGTGTGCGTGTGTGTGTGTGTGTGTGTGTGTGTGTGCGTGTCCAAGCTGGTGTACTTGAAACCGCTCCTTTCTTACTCTACCATTTAAGAAAAAATTTCTTTTGTATATGTGTTTGTTTGTGTGTATTTGTTAATTTTTTGGTGACATCATTTGTTTGTTTCTCCGTTCGTTCATTTGTTTGTTGATTTATTGATTTATTTGTTTTAATAGTTATTTAAATTTAGACATAATATTTGAAAAAATATTTGATGTATATCGAATATGCTGATTACCTAACAATAAAACGTTTTCAATGTCTATCACGCAGTTAAAAATTGTTCTCACGTCGTCAATGCTGTCGTTCAATCAACAGTCTATTAATGAATGTTCGAAAATAATTCACATTTTGACTTGTTTCAATTAATTTCGACAAATTTCAACTTAAATTCGAGTGAATTTCAAGCTATAATTGCACTTGCTCGGCTCGCAATTGAACCCTCTACGAGAAGGTCTACAGAAAACGGTCAGCACTAATATTGGCCGGACCGCTCGAAATCTTGATGTTTTCGATATATAGTATCATGATTCGACTGAATTGTTATCATTACCTGTGTATCACCGAACACACAGTATAGCACGATTTTTTAATTTGACGCTGATATAGTAATGAAATTAATAATAGCAATAGTAAAAAGGTCAGTAGCCATGCAGTAATAATACTTATTCAACGAGTTCGTATAATTACACCTACTTACATTACTTATACTTGCACGCACACGCACGCGCACATACACACATACATAAGCTACATAAGCACGTACATGATGATCGTACGATCAACAAACATATGGAAGGAAGTTTTTTAAATTTTATTAAATCACTTTGTTTTTAAGATTTATTGAAAGATAAGTATTATTGAAACGGGATTAGTAATTCGGAACGAAACCGTTTGGGGAAATGACGTCATTTTAAAAGTAGTTTTACAGTACGTTAGTGAATTAGCCGGAATAAACATTGTATTCGATTCCTATAAATAGATAGATATGTGTAGTTATTAAATATATATATATATATTTATTTATACATTTAAATTTTACAATTAAAGTGAAGTAAGGTGTGTGGAGTCAAATTATTTTGAATTCTCTCGGAATAATTTGATTTGAACCGCGCACGTACATACATATGTACATACACATGTATGATTGATTTCTGTTGGTTTTATAATGTAGATATAAAGAATTATATTATAGATATAAATTTATATAAATTTATATAATTATAGATATAAAGAATATATATAAATATATATATAAAGAATTTAGAATTTATGTATACAAATAATTACCAAGATTATATGTTTATCTAAAAAGAAATACAGCAGTTCCAACCAGTCAATCATTCAGAATGTTTTGAAGTTTGAGTAGCTCTGTTGTCAAGAATGTATATTAGTGCATTACATGAAATCAAAAATCAATAACATTGAAACAATAAAATTTTTACAGATGTGAATGATTGAATTTATTGTATGTATAATATATAAAGGAAATGAAGTAAAAGAAATACATTTTTTTATTTTTATGTAAAAAAGGAGTGATCTCGATTAAATTTGAATTCAACTAGCTAAACGTATACACACACTCGAACCTTCCCATCAGGAAGTTCGTAGGCGGTCGATGAATTCATTTTAGTATAGTTAATATATTGTTGTTAAATAAATATAATAATGTTTCTTATACATTAAATAAAGTTTTTTAATAATGTCAATGATTGGAATGGTAAAAATATATGAATGGAACTGGTATAAATAGGAGCCGAAAATGCGTTGAAATCCGACCGGGCGCTTTAGGGCATTCCCTTGCGCCTGGTCCCTTTTTTTTATTTCCTTATTTTATTTTTTAGTTAAGTTGTTTATTATTACTTGATTTGTTCGTTACTTATTATTACTAGATTTATTCGTTTATTTTATTCGTTACTTATTATTTCTAGATTTATTCGTTTATTTTATTCGTTACATATTATTTCTAGAATTATTCGTTTATTCTATTCGTTACTTGTTATTTCTAGATTTGTTTGTTTATTTTATTATTATAATAGCGCGTACATACACATACACACACACACACACACACACACAAACACACACACACACATACATACATATATTCGTTGTTTTGTTTGCTTGATGTTTTATTTTCTTTTCCTTACTTTTTTCTTCGTAATTGTACAAATAGGTAGGATTAATTCGTAAGTTGAGCTAATTGAACATAGGTAGGTGAGTTAATTTAGTGAACATAGGTAAGTTAGGGACTCTTTCTTTCTTTCTTACGTTCTAGTTTATTTGTATTGTATTGTTTTGTATTGTTTTTTGTTCAACACAACACCAACAGCAGCAATCATACACAACAATCAACACAATATTATTTTCGTTATATTTTAGATAAGTTTAGTTAAGTTGTTATTGCTAGACCATTCGTTATTTATTATTACTAGATTTGTTTGTTTATTTTATTCGTTACTTATTATTTTTAAATTTATTGGTTTATTTTATTCGTTACTTATTATTTCTAGATTTATTCGTTTATTTTATTCGTTACATATTATTTCTAGAATTATTCGTTTATTCTATTCGTTACTTGTTATTTCTAGATTTGTTTGTTTATTTTATTATTATTATAGCGCGTACATACACATACACATACACACACACACACACACACACAAACACACACACACACACATACATACATATATTCGTTGTTTTGTTTGCTTGATGTTTTATTCTCTTTTCCTTACTTTTTTCTTCGTAATTGTACAAATAGGTAGGATTAATTCGTAAGTTGAGCTAATTGAACATAGGTGGGTGAGTTAATTTAGTGAACATAGGTAAGTTAGGGACTCTTTCTTTCTTTCTTACGTTCTAGTTTATTTGTATTGTATTGTTTTGTATTGTTTTTTGTTCAACACAACACCAACAGCAGCAATCATACACAACAATCAACACAATATTATTTTCGTTATATTTTAGATAAGTTTAGTTAAGTTGTTATTTCTAGACCATTCGTTATTTATTATTACTAGATTTGTTTGTTTATTTTATTCGTTACTTATTATTTTTAAATTTATTGGTTTATTTTATTCGTTACTTATTATTTCTAGATTTATTCGTTTATTTTATTTGTTACTTATTATTTCTAGATTTGTTCGTTTAATTTATTGTTATTATTATTGCGCGGTCATACACACACACACACACACACACACACACACACATTCGTTGTTTTGTTTGCTTGATGTTTTATTCACTTTCCTTTACTTTTTTCTCCGTAATTGTACAAATAGGTAGGATTACTTCGTAAGTTGAGCTAATTGAACATAGGTAGGTGAGTTAATTTATTGAACATAGGTAAGTTAGGGACTTTATTCTTTCTTTCTTACGTTCTAGTTTATTTGTATTGTATAGTATTTTTTATTGTTCAACACAACAACAGCAGCAATCAAACACAACAATCAACACAATATTATTTTCGTTATATTTTAGTTAAGTTGTTTATTATTTCTAGACCATCCGTTACATATTATTACTAGATTTGCTCGTTTATTTTATTCGTTACTTATTATTTCTAGATTTATTCGTTACACATTATTTCTAAATTTGTTCGTTTAATTTATTATTATTATTGCGTGGTCATACATACACACACAAACACACACATACATATACTCGTTGTTTTGTTTGCTTGATGTTTTATTCTCTTTTCCTTAAATTTTTCTTCGTAATTGTACAAATAGGTAGGATTAATTCGTAAGTTGAGCTAATTGAACATAGGTAGGTGAGTTAATTTAGTGAACATAGGTAAGTTAGGGACTCAATTCTTTCTTTCTTTCTTACGTTCTAGTTTATTTGTATTGTATTGTTTTGTATTGTTTTTTGTTCAACACAACACCAACAGCAGCAATCAAACACAACAATCAACACAATATTATTTTCGTTATATTTTAGTTAAGTTGTTTATTATTTCTAGACCTTCGTTACATTTTATTTCTAGACTGTCGTTTTATTATTAACCCCCTCATGAACGGCTGCCTTGACGTGGCGAGGGGGCTTCTCACTAAATGCCGTTCAAGTTAGTGCTTCTTCTTTACTTGTTTTCTTAAAATTGCTGTTCTCTATCATTTTCTTGGTTCCATTTTTTAGCGCACTTTCAGACATGAGTTAAATTAGCATTTGCAACAAATTACCCATCCTATTTATTAAATTTTATTTGTTGTTTTTATAATCAGTCAGGTCACAATCATCGTCATCGATATCGCAATGAAATCATTTGTCTGAATCAAACATTTTTCATCCGACTCTGGAAAATGTTTTTACATTAATGTTAAATACAAGAAAACTAACCAAGCCCTAAAATCATTAACACTATGTAAATTAATGTTGAGTTGAAGCAATTCAAGTATTATTATTTGTATCAGTTTCTTCAACGAAGATATTTCGAAGCCTATTAAGTATCAATCTGGAACTGATCAGCTCGTCATGACTACCGCCACTGAAGTTGGTTCCATCGTTGTTGCAGTTAATGTTTGTGCTAGCGGTGTTGTTGTCATTAGTTGGAGGATGTCTGATGTCTGATATGTGATCATCAAGCGAGGCAGTCGTGTCCATGGCGTCATGACGTCTGTTGCTACTTGCAAATGAATTCCTTACATCCAGGCATTCCTCTCTCAGTTTAATGAAACTTCTCGATTTTTCTAAATATTCAAAATTCACTTTTCGTTAATAGGCGAGTGAAAGGGTGGATAAGTATAGACGTATATCATTCTCAATCCGTCAATCGATATACAACTATTTAACTACTTAACAGATGAATATTGAAAAAATATTAAATGTAATAAACAATTGACTCGCCAGCGATTGTTTGGAAATCTTTTAATTCGAGTTCTTTTAATTTATTTTCCAATTCATCCACTCTTGCTCCCAGAATTCTGTTATTTAATTATTATTACAATCAATAATATAATAAGGAAATAATTTTATATCATAATTTCAAAAAAAATTTCTGTCAAAAGTTTGTTGATAATTTGTATAAGAAATAATTAAATGAAATAGCGATTTGTAATTTACTTGCTAACAATCTATGAAAAATTAGTTTGGTCGAGGATTGTTTGACATGTTATAAAAACAATAATATTTAGCTTATTCAAATTTATTTGAATAAAGAATCAAAGTTAGAAATAACTTTCAAATTATTAAAAATGAACGATTAGGAGATTGAATGAATGATTGATTGATTGACTGAATATGCAAAACACAAATGAATGCATGAGACTGCCCACTTGTTGGTCTTCCTTTGATGTGATAGGGCGAGCGATTTATCGTTGAGGCAGTCGAGCAGGGAACTAGCCAATGAATGAATGTCCTGCATCATTTGCGGCGTTTGATTGGTCAAGTTGCTGGTCGTCAACAAATCGTGCACTGTATTGTTGGCGGCGGTGGAGAAATTTATTTATTTATAATTAAATATTCCTAACAACCTTTCCGTTGTTATAACTTTTAAACATTTCAAACGAAATATCAATCGGCAAAAGATAACGTTTCATAAATAAGCAAACAAATGAACCAAAGAACGAACAAACGAATGAATGAATGAATTTGCAAACAAGAGCACGATCGGACCTTGTTTCTGAGAAATGACCAGCCCAGTGCCTCTCGCCTGACCCAGCTCCAAGTTACCTTTACTTCTTTTCTTGCCTAATATGCCCTTCAGAAAGGAATTTGAAACAATTTGAAGCAATCAGTCAGCCATCGCACAGGCAGCAGTAATGCAATCAAAAAAACTCAAACTTTATATTTAGAGACTGCAGCCAGTGCACATAATTTTTCTTCTTCCATTTGTTTCATTTTTTCGTTTAAGAACCTTTCAATCAATCATGGCGTTATTTTATTTATTTGGTTATTTTTCATTTATTCAATTATCGCTTTATTTATTTATTTTGTGAATTTTCATTACAATCAATCAATCAATCAATCAATCAATCAATCAATCAATCAATCAATCAATCAATCAATCAATCAATCAATCAATCTTTATTTATTTATAAATCTATGGCATTTTTATTTTAACAATGACGATTATCTCTCTCCCTCTCTCTCTCTCTCTCTCTCACACACAAATCGCAAATCACACACACAAACACACTCAAAATTCGACTGAAAATAATAAAAAAATGGAACATCACTTGTTCTCGGCGAGCAGAGCATCGATGTCAATGATTTTATTTTGGCATCCAGCAGGCCGAAGAATGAGGTTGAGGTGCAGGTTGAGGTTGTTGTACTTGTTTTTAAACTGGTCCCTCTCCATCACCAGCTCCTCCTTCTCATCCAACAACTGCTGCATGTCACGCTCCAGTTGCTGCATCTTCAATTGAATGTTATAAAACCTGCTGTCAGATTTGTGCGCAATCACGCGCAATGCAACTCTTCCTAATTTAGTGATTTCAACCAAATTGTTCTTATTCATTTCGCATTCATTCTCTCATTAATCCGTTCTTTTATTCCATTTCCTAATGAACTACCATCTACCAATAAAGAATGACCACAGAAACCTTAGATGCACCTTTTTCCATCCTAGAGATCAGTTGCTCTCTTTCATCACAAGAAATGAACCTAGACTCCATCATTCCTTCATTTTCACATCCCAATCTGTGCCGGGCTATCTGCTCCCGTAACAACTGACGAATGAATGAATGAACGAATTAATGAGAAAAATATAGAATTATCAATAATTCAGGCAATAATGAACATAATGAATGAATGAACAAGTGCATACAATCATTAAGTTTGCTAATTTAATCATCATCATTATCAGCACTGCATCATCTTGCATCTCATTAATGACAATGAATGAAGAGATGGAATGTTTTGCATACACCTGCATAACCTAGCAAACTTCCAATGACTTGCGTCATCATTTCAATCATTCCCCACTCATGCTCCATGTATCATAAACACGTGTGCACGTAGACAGTGCACACGTCGGCACGAACACACACGCACACGCACAGACAGACACGCAGACATATACGCAACACCATAACATGCAACAAGTACAAAAACGAGCAACAGAGAGCGTGGATGTGCTTTTGAAACTGTGATCAGTGCAGCAAACAGACCTTGATATCACCATTTGCATCATCAAGTTTTTGTCTCAACTCCTCCAACTGAAGTTTCAGACACTTGTTTTCGTCCTTAACTTCACCCAGCAATTCCACTACATTCTTATGAGGAAATAATAATTCTCATTCGTTTTTCATTGCACTATTATTAAACCGCTGTTATATTTTTTCATAATGGAATAAATATAAATTATCAACGAGACAACGAGATTAAAATAGTTATATATAAGAAAATTTAAAACTTTCACGTTCTTTTGCAAATCAATAAAATTGCTATTTATGTAGATTTCAACAACGTTTGTGTATGTCAGTTTATACAGTTGACAATGTATGTGTATATTATGTATGTATAACTGTTTACATGTGTGTGTGTGTGTGAGTGTGTGTGTGTGTGTGAAAAATGAACGAATGAATGAATAAATAACATGCTGTTTGATGTCTGAATGATCTTCGAGAAACTGGCTTGAGGAAAACTTTGCTCCCTGAGGATTACAAAAACATGTTATTCATATCAGCAACAATGAATAAATGAGTGAATTGATTAATCAATAATAATGAATAATTAATTAATTACTAATGAATACGTTAACACAAAAACAATGAATATCTGAAAGAGCAAATTTGTGAATTAAATGAGGCTCACCGCCAGTTGCCTCCTTATCATTTGGTACCTTTTAATGATAAAGGATTGAATGAAATAATGAATGAATGAATAAATAAAAAAATAGATGAATGATTTAATGACAAAATAAATAAATGAAAAAAAAGAAAAACCAGCCTATTCTGCAATTGGTCAGCCATCAATTTAAGTTGATCTCTTTGTTGTCTGGACTCATCCAAGTCTCTGCTTAGTATCATAACTGCCTCACACTTACTTTCCAGCCTGCGCTTGCACACTTGAAGCTGGTGGCATCAAATGATATCATAATTAACATCCTTTATTAAATTAGCTGACATATACCCTTGCAAACAGCTTCAAAAACTTCACTTCCTCAAATTTTAATAAAATAAATAAGAAACAAATGAATAAATCATTAAAAAATAAAAATTTATTTTGGTTGGTGCACCCCAATATATATAATATATATTATCACTGAATAAAAAAAATGAAAAAACTAGAAAGCCAAATAAAAGAGGAAAAATGAAAATAAGTAACAAACTTCATTCCTTAAATATTCATATGTTTGCTTCGTGGACCCAGCCTCAGCCATTTTAAATTATAATTATACTTTATTCAACATTAATTTATTTTTTATTTTCAATAAAAAATTACTCAAAATTTAAATTTATTTAATTTTAAATTTAAAACAAATAAAAAACTGAAAAATGATTAGGCAGTTCAATTTACATTTTTTTAATTAAAATTAAATTAAATCTTTTAAAATGAGTTGAATGTCTAGTGTAGAAGACCCTACACTACACAGCACAGAGGTAAAGAATTCTGAAGGTGTGTGTACTGTGGTGTGGAAGGCAAGGTAAATCATCTCATCAGATCAGCCATTAGCAGATAATGAGTTCAATTTCAATTCAATTTTAATATTTTTCAATTCAATTCATATTTTTATAAATAATCATATTATTATTATAATTATATTATTATTCAACAATCCAATTGCTAGCATATTATTTTTATAATATTGATATATTGAACAATCAATTTCATACACGACTTTTAAAACAAGATTAATTTAGTTTATTTAATAAAAATATCTTGAAGTTAATGATAAATGAATAAGTATTAACAACGGTGAAAAGCTTAGTTAAAAAATCCCAGCAAAATAGAATGTATAGTAAATAAAACAGGAGTTGGGCGGAGCTTGCCCGTGCTTTCTGGCTTATGAAAGGCTGCAGGCCGAAGAAACCGCTGAAATTAATGCTCTCAACGTTACTACCTCCAATTCATTTTCTCAAGTATTATAACGTACAACACACGTTAACTCGCTGCTATGTACGAAATGGTTGGTTTGTCTGTCTCAAGTGATTTGTGCAATGTGCGTGCATTCTACTCGAATAGCAGCACAGACTTTAAATTGATTTTGTCAATTTAATGTCTAAACGCTCGCGGAAAATTTACATAACGTTTTCCCAAATAATAATTTTCGTCGCATGAAAAATTTTAATCATTTCGGCTTTGCGTTCATACCAAAAATATAAAAAGATGTAAATTATTTTCTACCAGACGACCTCTTGGATTGCCAGCGCCACAATTCGAAAACACAGAATTAAAAAAAACATTTGAGGTACAATATGTTAAATGATAAAGAACACGAATATTTATCATATCATTCAAAATTGGCATCAGATTAAAATTAAGTGGTCAGTTGTTTGATCGATTGATGAATCTACTTTCTCCTGTTGCTACTACCAGAAAGAATCATGGCTATCCTGATGAAGATGTTGATCGTGTCCATAAAGATTCCAACTGAGCTGTTTAAAAACATTTACATTTTGTTGCCGGTATATATTCAATTATATTCATCAAAACTAAACCTCACAATCTTCCAACATTGATTCATTTCACTACGACCTACTAGCTAATTACTTTGAGTTAAATTACTTTTCCACTGAGTAAATATGATTTATAATTCTAATTCCCTAACTCTAATGAGAATAAATAACAATAAACGAATGATGAATAATATTGGTGAGAATAGCCAGTCAGTGACAAGAACTAACTTATTGATGGGATCAAATGGCTGATCAGCATAGGCAACATGATGCTCAGCCCTATAAACAACCTTCTGTGTATCGTACAAGAGGAAGGCGCCAAACAGGGCAAGCCCTCCATACACTGCAATGCTGTACAATCCTGCTCCCAACGCTGTGGATGGCGGTAGAAACCACGTGCCTGTTCATCGTGTCATGTAATTGTGATGTCATGCGATAGTTTGCCGCAATGTCAATGGACCTGATGCAACATCATGTGATGTGATGTGACGGAACGTGATATGATGTAATGTCACGTAATATCAATCAATCAATCTTCGTTTTGCGTCCAAAGACCCGGTTTCCCGAGGTAGGACATTGTTTCTTTGCCATCAACTTTTTGCGCCAAATTAGACGATCAGTTGTATCCATTTCATTTAAATTTAGAGCTTTCATGTCTTGCTCGATTGTTTGCGACCAGGACTTCTTTGGACGGCCTTTGGGACGTGTGCCAGGTACTTCAACATCTGCAAGAGAAGTTATGGCACTGTTTCCACTTTGTTTGACATGACCAAACCACCGCAGACGGTGTTGCCGGCATTCGTCCTTTACATCATCTAAACCAGCACGACGCAAGATTTCGATTGATTTGATGTGGTCCTTCAGACTAATTCGTGGCATCCATTGGAGCATTTTCATGTCGGTTCGTTGAAGTTGTTGTTCCAGTTTGGTTGTCATTGGCCATGTTTCTGCATCATATAACAACACCGGACGTATCACAGATTTATAAAGTTTTGATCGTAGTGGTAGTGGGATGTCACGCCACATCAATATAGAGGCAAGAAGATGCCATTTATTCCAGGCTGCACGTATGCGTGCAGCCTGGAATAAATGTCACGTAATAGATACAAAGTAATGGGATGATGTAGTAGTAAAAAATGTCATTAACGATGGCATTTGAACATCAGTGCTAATGTGAGGAACGAACCTATTGATGATATGAACACGACTCCAAGACCCATGGCCAATGGTCCTCCCATGTAAAGAAACTTGTCGCTTGGTGCACACATTGCAAGAGCAGACAGACCTTCAAATTCATCGTTTGTTCAATCAAGTAAAGACAATATACAATCAAGAAATGCTCCTAATGAAAGTTCCCTACCTCCAACTACGCCAACAGTGTAACATGCAGCTCTAACAAGTAGGGGACCGCCCATTAACGCGATAGGGGCGACGACAGCCCCTACAACACAGCTATGCAACATCCAGGCCAAATGCTTTACTCCAATGCTTTCTGTGTAGGGCAGGGACTGACACAAAATTCCTGTCCCCATCATGGCGACCATGCTGCCAATCAGTGTCTGCAAGATTGAAAGACTATTCATTTGACAACATGATAAAAATTATCATTAAAATAGATAAACACGTACACATAGAAAATAGAGAAGCAAAAAATAAAAGATGAGACTCAATATGTAATCAAAGAGAATTTTTAAATAACAAGCAAAAGAGGAAAAACATTAGTTCTGTATATGTATAAAAGAAATGAATGAACATGAACCAACCATCCAAGACGATCTGAACATGACGTTCATAAATGTAGGACTCCTACTCAGAAGAACAGCTGAGGCGGCCGTGAAAATCAAACTGCCTCCAAAATAAGCATATGTGTTCCTTATTCTCTCCTTCACAGTGGCTGGCCACAATCTAGTTCAATAAAACATTAAAAATTAATTTATTCAATGATTGCTGTCATCAATAATTCATGATCATAACATCCTATTTATCATTTCATTAACATTTGAGCATATTAATTTAATCAAAAGTTGAACAAGAAATAAATTCTAACATTTTTAGAACAAACAAAAATAGAACTAACGCAGCTCTATCGATAGCACCAACTTGGTCCGACAGTCCCAATCCATAGTAACAAAGGCCTCCAAGTCCCAACAGAGATGCGCCTGCTAATAATCCTCTTCCTGCTGTGAAGGCTTCAATAAACATTGTATCATTCACATCTATACATTACGAAGACATTCATCTACAGGTAATCATATGAATAGGTTGAAAACATACTGGCAAACACTCAATGCTCAATGGTTAAAGGAGCGTGGTCTTGCTGTTGCAATGAGTAGGTTTAAATAAAAGATATCCCTGCCTATCACATGCATGTGTATGATGCATGGTTTTCATGTGCATTCATATATATATGTTGTGTGTGCGTGTTTGTTGCTGGAATCCCTGAAGCAAGTGCAAAAGAGAGATTGACCTTCAACTTTTTTTAACACTAGTAAACAAACAAACATAAAAATTAAAGAAAAAACTTGAAATAGAAAACATCTATCTAACCTGTATCACCAGCTGGAGCCATCAACCTTTCCTTCAGTGTCGGACCCTTCGTTACCTCCTTCACTCTCCTCAGTGCAGACGACTTACTCTCTTGTGCAAATAATCTCACCTTTGTTACCAACCCTGATTTGGTTGCCATGGAAACCATTGGTAACCTTGTAATTGCAAATCTACAAGCAAACATGCTGAAAATCTGGGAGAGGAAATTTCAACAACTAAGAACCAAATCAAATGAAAGAATGATGGATGAAACTTATTTGTAATTTGAAAAAACTGCTATTTATTCAAGCATGAATGTTCTTGCTTCCTGATGAGTTACTTAGTTGTCAACCTGCCAAAAAAATTTATTCTTTCTCAAAATAAAATTAAATCAATTGATTGATTGATCTCAAAATAAAATTAAACTTACTAATTAAAGTTTAGTTGAAAATAAAAGTTGCTAGCACTGTTAAGAGTTAAAATTAAAACTTATCTAATAACTAATAAGAATATAATAAATTGATAATTATTAAATATTATAAAACTAATTTCTTTTTAGAATTTAGAGGTGTTATTTATGTTAGTAGTGTAACATAACATAACCCTTGTTAAAAATTAAAGTATTAATTTAATTTATTTAATTAAGCATTAGTAAAAGTAAAAGTAACACAAAACCTGTAATATATACTATACTAATACTACTATTTTACTATTTAGCACTAATTATATATTTATATTATCATATAATACACGTCCTGCATCGGGAGAACTGGGTCTCTGGACGGTAAACGAAGATTGATTGATATTATTATATAACGTAATGCAATGTAATAGTACAATAATATAATACTAACAACTTGATCTAATTTCTAATAAATTATAAATATATTATATGAGAGTCTATCTCTGCTAGACCGATAGAGAGTGAAATGTTTATTTTTATTTATTAAGATTAATTGTAAAAAAATTAAAATGCCATTCAGACATATATTTCAATCAGCCATTTAATACAATTTATATTCAAAAACTCACCGAAAATTCTGGTTACTGCGTAATGAAAAGCAAATGTAAATGCATAAAAGTGAAACGAAATAATAATTTCGTCAGATTTGCACTCACCAGCTCACATGCAGAACATTCCATCCATCTTCTTCCTCCTCTTCCCGTGCCTCGTCATTTCAGGACATTGACGGCCATCGACCTTCACAAAATGTGATTTTTAATGCCTTTTTTACTCATATATCTCTATATTTTGTTCTCTTGCACTAGCTACCTATAAAATATAGAATAATTTTTAAAATTTGCACATTTATGTTTAATAGGGTGGGGCAAAAAATGGAACATATATCATTTCAAGTGCCAAAAGTTGCTAACTATGCTAGAAAGTATTTCTGTAAAGTTTGAGCCATATATTTCATATTCTAGGGGTCCCACACTATGTTAACAATTTTATTAATTTTACACCTGGTATTAGTTATAACTTTCTGAAAAAATTCACGAACTAAGATGTTAAATAGATGACATATTTCATTCATACTTGAATACAGAATACAGAATTTATACTTGGGCCAAGAAAACTGAGAAGACAGAGCATTTTTTGGAGAGGTAAAGTTCTGGAGAGCCAAGTTAAGAAAGTGTCAGGATTATGATGTGTTGGTGAAATTGATGAAATTGATGAAACACGGTTGCTGGATATAGTTAGGGTAGTGAGAACTAAAAAAGAGGATCATTATGTTATATATTGGCTACCCCGGTCAAAATTATGTAGATCATGTGGCACCGCAGACAGGCAAAGCAAAAAACATTGCATCTGAGATTTTGTCAGTTATTCATGAAACTGGTTCTAATGAAACCAAGACAGCCGTTCTATGTGTACAAAAGTCAACGCCGTCCATTGCAGTGGTTTATCTGTATGTTACATTTGAATGAGTTGCCGTTTCGTGCAATTTATACTAAGTTGGATAGTACAATATCAGGACCTACAGCATTCCATGGAAATATTGGAAGTAGATTAAATTTCGATCCAAAAAGTTTACAAATTGTTAATTTTAAGGCAGTTCCAGATTGCACTGAAAATGTATCGGATGAAATCAAGAGAGATCTTAGTGAAGACCAGTGCTACATGTTGCGGGCTATTTTGGTGGTACAAGAGGGCAAGGACAACGCAGCAGAACAAGATTTAAACTTTTGGCTTCTGCTTCCCCGGGTTAGGCGAGATGGTTGATCATTGTTCATGTTCAGGTCTATGCCCCAGCTAGTTTAACATCAGAAAAAACCCACATAGTAGTAATGGTGCCAAATTTTTTTTACATGGTTCAGAAGATTCAATGCATATCCGACAGTGTACTGGCGGAAGCAACGAAAAAATGCTTAAAAAGAAATTGTCACATTGCCCATCCAAAAAACATACTTGTCAGTGCACTGGCTGGATGACAATTATGACAGACGAAAAGATGCTGCTGACAAAGTAATATCAGCAAGATAGAATTTTCAGAATGATGCTGTGCCAAGAAAATTTTCAACGTCGAGTGTAGAGATAAATTTTGATGCCACCACCTACTACGACATGATCGACTGGAGTTACTTCACCTCCTGTAATTCAGTTCATGACGTCAGAAGAACGGTTACAGAAAGTGGAAGATGGTCCAATATCTCTCCCAAACATTCGGTGTCACAGTCAAGGAGTCGAACGTGCTGTTATAAGCAAGTAAGTGGCTAGATCTTCGTCTACAGTTTGCGGCCATGTGTGGTTTGCGTGGTTTCATGTTGACATCTACCTGTTTGGTCATGTCTACCTTCAACTTTATCAGGCTGGTCTTCAGGTTCTTATATGGGAGCCATAGAGAAATCGATAGCAGGAGAAAGCATCTATTATTTGGTTTACTATTTTAACCAGAAAATATCTGCTATGAAATTTAAAAGAAAATCATAAGTTAACTTTTAAATAAATTTTAAAAATTGGAAAAATGGTACTCTATTTTACATCAAATGGTTATTTCAAAAGATTTTATTTCTACAAATCTGTATTTCTGAATTGAATAACTCAATTTAATTATTTTTTATATTTTAATTTTCAAATTTTTTGTAATTTTTTCATTCAGTTGTCAGCCCTCCTTACTCCATTTACATGGGGGAGGACAAACACGAGAGTAACTCTAGAATTTTGAAAGTTTTTTAATTTTAAATTCAATAATTTCAATTTTATATATATTTTTTAATTTTTTGGCTTACATTATAATATATATTAATTTTATTTCATATAAATTATAAACTTATAAAGTAAATTCATTTCATTCAATGTTTAATAAATTAAAATATTAAAAATTAAATAGAATAATTAATATTAAATTGATTATTATGATGAATATTTATTTATAAAATAAAATAAATCATAAATAAAATATAATAATTTTTTTATCATAGTATTATAATATATTTATGTAATTCTTTCAAAAGATAATTTATCTTTTTTTACAAGATAACATTTTAATGCACAAAACTACATTAAGTAAGCAGTCATTATTAATCCTTTTTAAGAATTAAAAAAGCTTTATAAAATTTGAAATTTATAAATTCTTTTAAAATGAAGATGAGGACTTGATAAAGTATGGCTGGCCTGAGGATGTGTGGTTTCATGTTGACAAGTTGTCATCCGCTCATGTCTATCTTCGACTTCACCAGGCTGGTCTTTAGATAATCATCATCATTTGAAATTTATTTCTATGATAAACATTTTAGAAAATATTCGATTGTTCAAAAATGTCTGATCTTTTTCAAAATTATTTTTTTAAAAGCATTGTTAAATAATAAATAATATGAAATTTGTCATTTGAACTGAAGAATGAAACAATAGACTGCATACCAGAAGCAGTCCTGCAGGATTGTGCACAATTGGTCAAGGCAAACAGCATACAAGGTGCACAAGTGTCTTTTGCAGATGTTTTTGTCCCATTATTTTTTTTTCATCCTCCTTATCATCAATATTACCATTATTTTTCTGCAATTAAAATATCTGAACTCACAGGCAATAAACAAAACAACCTTGATATTGTTTATACAATGTGGTCCAATTTGAAAAAGACACAAAATATGGAGGTAGGTCAAGTCGGATTTCACAAACAAAAGGAGGTCAATCAATGTTGTTGTCTTGAATGTGTGTAGTTATTTGTCATGCTGCTGTTGCAATAATGAACAGTTACAATAATAATAATGAAGATGAAATGTGTTATGTTGCAGGTGAAGGTGATGAAAGTAGACTCAAGAATCAATGAGGTTGTCAATAGGTTGAACAAAACTCTCCTTGAAAAGAAATTAGATCTCAGGTGTTGGTTACGACTATGCTGGCGATGATGATGACAAGAATGATGCTTTTTGGTTTTGATGTTGGGAATGCTATTTAAAGTATTCAATATTAATATTTATTTAATGTTAATATGAAATTATTGACAACCTCTACTGAATAGGTTAGAAAAAGAAGAGAGAGATAGGAAGGAGAGAGAGAGTAAGAAGGAGATGATGAGGCAAGAAGAAAAGAGGAAGAAGGATGCAGAGGATGCCAGGAAGAAAGAGGCTGAACTCAAGTTGTCATTTTCGTCTTCATCTTCATCATCATCGTTGTTGTTGTTATCACCACCATCTTCATCATTGTTATCAACATCTTCATCTTCGTCATTTTTATCATTTATTATCATCCTCAACCATCATTATTTTATTTAGTCGGGTTCATATCTATATTCATTTAGTTTATTTCCACAATTTATTTAAAATCGTAGGAGCTATGATAGGTTGATGAAAGCTGAAAACATGACTTCAAATCAAGTTGGTTGATGCTATTGAAATTTTATAATTATTGTTGCTGGTGCTAATGTTATTGATGTCCTTGATGTTGGTTTGTTGCATTAATATAAAAATTTGATTAGAAATTTCTATTCATTTTAAAAAATGAAACTTGATCATACAGGACGCAGCGTATGATTCTGATGAATTCATGTAAATACAACTTTACTTTTCTGTATTCAATCAGTCAACCGACCAACCATTCAATCGTACATTTAAAATTTTGATTTCTGCAATAAGAAGCTTTAAACTCTTTAGCTTTGCTACAGTTTATTCTAATAAACCGTTAAATAAATTTGAGGAAAGATAGAACACAAAACAGAATATAAGTCAGTAATGAAGTTCAAATTTGATGAAAAAAGCGCTTAAATAAAATGAATACGACATTCATGGAATGATTGAATTATCTTTTTAATGAAATTGTACCCTTAAATATAGGACAAATCAGTAAAACATGTTCACGCGTTTGAATTAAGTTCAGTTATTGAAGTCGGAGCGTCATTTGGTTGGAAGCTGGAAGAGACAAATAACTAAACAGCTTTCAATATTTTCTGATAAAGACAAATTTAAAATATAACGTAGGAAAAGTTTTTTTATGATGTTTTTAATGATTCATTCATTTGCGAGAAACGTTCACTATCTTGATTTTACATTAAAACTGAAACATCATCATACTAAACCGATGTATCGAGCTTATCAATTTATCATAAGATTTTTTGAAGCCACATTCTGCAAGGCAAAATTTGCATATAAAGAACTGTATTCCAAGTTAAGTCGAAAACATGTCAATCGTTGATAAAGAATATAGCAAAATGTATAGAATAATATAAAAAGTATTAAGCTATACGGTGCTCCACGCCCGTCAAGTTTGAATTATGAGATTAAAAGTTACGGCAATATCTTGATAAAATTTACATCCAACAACTAATTAACATTTAATGAAACAATATTTAAATTGAACATTCAAAATATCTGTGATGATAGTTCCTGATGAAGTTTCATTGGGGTGTACATTTGGAAGTGTTCGTGTGTGCGTGTTCATGTATGTGTGTGTGTGTGTAACTGCAATGACAGACTTTGTGGTGGCGTGTGCCATATGCGTTTGCATATTTAAAACGGTGCAAATAAAGTGAATGACCTATAAGCATAAGTAGGGGTCGTTATTTCAAGCGAATTTGTGACAAGCGAATGATATATTTAATGCAATAATTTTTCATTTATTTATTTATTCAAAATTGGTTTTTTAATATTTAAACTAAATAATGAATGAAATGAATACAACCGATCGTCTAATTTGGCGCAAAAAGTTGGTGGCAAAGAAAACAACGTCCTACCTCGGGAAACCGGGTCTCTGGACGCAAAACGAAAATTGATTGATTGAATGAGTGAATGAATAAAATATGAAAAATTTAGACCATTGAGGACATTTGAAATTATCGAGTTATGTTTGCACGTGTTATGCGATGACGACCATAACGCTGACGTGATTGAGAGAATGATGGCGTGATGCCGACGGTGCTTGCTTCAACTTTTAAATTCACCACATTGCAATATTTTGTAAGAATTATTAATTTAATAAATTTTGGTAGGTAATGGCTGAAATAAATAACCAGTGAGATTCGATCATAAATGAGACTAGGTATAAATTTACATCAGGATATGAATGAACGAACGAATGAAAGAACGAATGTATCAATGAACCAATAAACGTATCAATGAATGACTGATAGATTAATTGATTGATCACAAAGGCTTAACATAGTTGCCCGGAAAGAGACCAAACTTGTTTGTTGAATTTGCGGCACCAACCCACCAACCATCATCACATTTCTCTGTTACCTGTGTTATTTGTTGGTGAGGAACATGATGATGTTGTACTGTGCCAACAATGTTCAATTATCGTAACCAGGATTGTTAACCAGAAATGTATAGTTATCGTAACCAGGATTGTTAACATCGGCGATATTGCATGGCCGATACTTTTTCAGCGCTGGCTGTCTTATTGGCGATACTTTGATGTTGGTATCGAACTTGGTACTGTCGATACATTTTAGCTAGAAAAAAATTCGATTCTCGATAGAGGAAAACTTCTGAACGTCAAGTAGATATATTTTTTCAATGATCATTTCATTTATCAAAAGTGAACGCGTTTTTTAAAAGGTGAATTCCCAAAAACGTTCCCTTCTTTTGCGTGTTTTTTTTAAAATCTTTATTCTTTTCGCGATGTGCCTCATTTGGATGGTTAGAAAATGCAAAAAACTGTTTAATTTTTTGATTTTAATAATTTTTTTACTTTTGAAAGGCAGTTAGTTGATTATAAGATAAAAATATTGGCACAATCATTTTCGCTAAAATAATTGTTGAATGAGTATTCATTTTAACTTGCTTCAAATTTGATGGTTCAAACAATTTATCGTTGTGTAATCATTTTCATGTTATATAACATAACACCTATAACAACCGAATGCATTTTTGGATGAAATATTAGTTCTTCCTCTACCATGTAGCAACGTTTGAAAATACAATGAAGTATTTGCATCACTATTGGTATTAGAACATGAGAATCGTTGTTTGTACCGGCAATACATTTTAAAACTGTGTGTTGGTGTTGGTACTGGCCATGCAAATAGTAGGATTGTTCACAACCTTCGTTGCCACTTGACGTTTTATTAAAAGGCAGTTGTTGTGATAACATCACAATCATCATCATCAACAACATCAACATCATAACCATCATTACTATAACCAAAAACAACACCAACGTTAGCATCGTTACCTTGATTATGTCCCCGATAGTCAATTGCAATTCGTCGGAATGTTGAGGAAGGTAGCTGTGTTGAACTCTGTACCTGCAACACAAACGCGCGCGCATAAATGCATGCATACAAACATGTATATAGACACGTACATGCCCGCCGCACATACAGATACACACATACATACAAACATACATACAGTTGATAAGTGATGCTCCCACAGAAACTTGCTCTGCATGCTGGCTGCTCTGCAGACGTCATTCCTCGTCTCATCAACAACTTGGGAGAGCCTTATTAATAAAACAAAATTGAACACCACGGTCGTCATCACCGACTTCCACGTCAGCGTCATCATCCACATCAGCATCATTACCAACCAATCATAGCATAATCAGGAGGAATGGATTTTTTCAATTGGATCGGTTTTAACACTACAACTTCAAAACCATTATCATAATCTGCATGCTTGTTGTGGCTGTTAGTAGCAACCGTTGATAACTGATGATGTTGTGGTTGTTGTTGTTGTGGTTGGTGTTGATGTTGTTGATGTATTTTCAAAGTTGATTGGCCAGTAACAATGAATCTTTCAGGTGAACTATAAATAGAGGGCTTGGAAATTTCAGTTGTGGTCACTGACCGCGACATTGAGCTGTTTATAGATTGGTTAGAATTTGCAAAGTTTGTTGATCTAATTGATGAAATGGTTTGATATGGCGAATAAGATTCATAAGTATTATTGTTGGTGCTGTTTTTGTTGATGATGTTGAAATTTACCGTCGAAGATGATTTTTGATGTGGCTGATGTTGTTGATGATGTCGTTGTGGCTGATATTGTTGCTGCTGATGTTGTTGATGATGCTGGTGCTGCTGCAAAAACTGTTGAAGTAGATATTGTTGTTGATTTTGTTGTTTCAAAGAAATATATTGTTTATTGACATTCCCTTTCTGTTGAATTTGTTGTTTCATGGAATTTAATTGTACAAATTGACGTTGCTGATGTTGTTGACCGAGTTCAGCCACTTGTGTTGTGTTGCTATAATTTTCATTTACTGCTTGCAGTTGTTGTTCATGCTGTTGTTGTTTGTATTGAATTAAATGGGGCTGTTGTAGTTGTTGCTGCCGCTGCGGTTGTTGTTGTTGCTGTGTTAAATGGTGATGTTGTTGTTGCTGCTGATAGCTTTTATTTTTTCTCATAATGTCTTGATAGTTATCAGAAATGTCATTTCTTGGTTTAGCTTCAATATTTTTTTGATCGTTGTAATGTTGTTGTTGTTGTTGATGTTGATGTTGTTGTTGATGTTGTTGTTGAGCAGCACACATTTTTTCCAAATCAGCCAGAGATTTCTCAAGCATAGGCCAGTCAGATATCTGATGGTGATCATTCATTTACTCATTCATTCAGTAATCCATTTATCTATCCATCCATCCATCCACCCATCCATTGAACTCCGGACAGACCTGGAACTCGAGAGATGTTGATGGTGAGAGAGGAGCGGACGGAATGGAAGGAGCCTGACTTGTGTTCAGTGATGAACTGATGGATCCAATGAAAGAATGATGAGGATGATGATGATGATGATGGTAGCTGTATATATCTGAATAAGGATTTTTGTTTGTTTTGTGTCAACTCATCCAAAGATCATTTTGTCATCAACACCGGCTGAGCAGACCACATCCTCATCGTCGTCGTCATCATCATCATCGTCATCATCATCGTCATCATCGTCGTCGTCGTCATCATCGTAATTTGAAATTGGAACCTGAACTAGGTGTAGCAGTTCTAGCTGGTGATGAGGAACTATCTTCAAGGCTGATGTTCCGAATATAGGACGCTGGCACTGCACCCTCGCCATTCCGCGATCTCACCTCCAGCCAGTTATCATCCACTCTCTTTATTATGCTCACCTTTTCTCCCTGTGTGTTTTTATCACCATCTGATGATCACCACCAAAATCATCATCATCATGCCTACCTCGTCAACGGACAATTCATTTTTCAGGTTCGCTACAAACTTGAAGAGAACAACGCCTTGGCAAAACTTTCGTTTGTGCCTCGGTGTCAATATCTAGGGAGACGATGATGATGTTGATGATGATTGTATCGATGATGATGATGATGATGGTGGTGGTGATAATGATTATGATGGTGAAACAAAATTTGTCGAGGATTTCATCAAATCAAAGCAACAGAGGGTCAAGGAATACGACGACAATGATGAATTTCTAAATTATCTCATCGTGATCATCATCAACACAACCATCATCATCACTATCATCATCATGAACATACATGAACGTACGTTACAGGAAACATCCCTTTCCTACCACATGCACTCTCGCCCTCCACCCAGTTCTCATCAACCCTCCTCAACAACATCACTTTCTCTCCTTTCTTCAATGTGAGCTCTCTGTTGTGGTGATGGTGGTAGGGACGATGATTGAAATTGAACTGACACTCATGGTGAGTTTGATGATGGTGGTGGTGGGTGTGATGGTGACGAACTTTTCATTCTTGGCTTCAAAGTTGAACATGGTAACTGCAAAACATTTCTGAATTTTTCCGAACTTCCTAAAAGTTGCTACATCATCATTATCATAATAGCTAGTATTCATGATGACGTCATGACCATCACAATCATCACCGTCGTCTTCATCATCATCGTATCTGTTGAGCTTCACCGGTGATTTCTCTATAGGTCTGTTTGTTGATATCATCACAACCATCACCACAGCCATCATCACAACCATCACCACAATCATCATCACAACCATAATCGCCGCTACTAACAAAAAATGATCATTATGTCTTCTAGCTTCATTCATCCTCTGTTCCAGCTTCTTTCTCTTCATTCTCTCTATCCTTATCAATCGCTCCTGTGTACGTTCATAGCTATTATTATTATAGTTATTATTATTATTGTTATTATTATTATTATTAGTAGTAGTAATAGTAGTAGTAGTAGTAGTGGTGGTGGTGGTAGTGGTGGTGGTAGTGGTGGTGATGGTATTGTTATTTACCACTTGCATTTTCCTTTTAAGTCTTTCATTCTCTTTGTCCTCTTTTGACTTTTTTTCACGATCTCTCTCACCAAAGATATTAGAATCCTCATTGACTTGAATTTCCGACATGGCGTGTGTAAGGCTTTCTACACTTTTTTGTTCTTTGCTTGTGTTCAGGCAGATGTTAGTCAGGTAGGTTGGGGTTGGTAGGGTCTTCACTGGATTGATTAATTATTTAATTCTATATCTATTCGTTCGTTCGTTCATTCATTTATTCGTTTGTTAGTTTATTTATTCCTCCATTCATTCAATTTTCCTTTGTTGTTTATTCACTAATGAAGCAAATTTCAAAAAAACCTTCCTGTTGACCTACCTCTCCTGGGCTCCATCAACCCCCTCAACCCTTGCCGCGGGATCGTTCCGCCCTCTTGAATGTTTTTGTAGATGTTGTTGTTGGTGGTGTGATTGTTGTTGTTTAGATTGTTGTTGATGTTGTTGTAGTTTTCTCTTTTGCTTACACGAAAGTTTTTGCTGTTTAGTGATTCAGAGCTGATGAAATGAAGAAATGTTTTAGTTCATCATCATCGTCAACATCATCATCCCCGTCAACAACATTATCATTATCAACAACAACATCATCCTCATCGTCATCACAACTCACTATTTACAAAGATCGCCAGGCTTGCATATTGGCGGATTGTATTCATCGTCGCCACCACGAACGCACTGATGAAAAATTATTTAAATTATTTATTAATTCTAGCAATAGAAAACCGCGCTATTGATATTGACAACAGCAAAAACAATAAATAATTTTCAAAATAAATTATGCAAATGAGCACCTCAAGCCCCTTCCTTCTAGCAATTGATGAGTGACCCGGTTCATATTCTTCAATTTTCATTGGCGGAGAGTTCTTGGGGGAACTCTCTTTCAGCCAATCGAAATTGTCTGCGTAAAAATCAATGATTATTAAACGCTGAATAACAATAACAATTAGCGAATAATTTTTACTTTCAAATCAATCAAAATGAAATTAATGGTATTCAAAATGAAATTTCGTAAATTGAAGTTTATTATTATAACTGCTTGCCACTATTTTCACTGGTTGAGAAGCTCTGTTTATCTCTCATCTGAAACAAAATGAATGAATGAATAGATGGATGAATGAATGAATAAATGAATGAATGGATGGGTGAGAGATAAATGAACAAATACACTTACCATTGATGCAGAAAATGAGGACGATGACAGTGGAGGCAATGTTGAGGAGGATGTCTGCGCTGATGATTGTATCAGATGGGATGAAGATGTTGAGAAAAATGATGTTGATGTTGTCGTTGATGTTGTTGTTGTTAATGTTGTTGTTGATGTTGTTGTTGTTGATTGATACTTGAAACTTTCACTTCGAATTGCGATGTTTGGTGAGTCGATAGTGAAGCTGGATGATGATGGTGGTGGTGGATCGGTTGAAGATGGAGGGATTGCATCTGTGTTATGATGATAGTGATTAGTGAATTTATTCATTCTTTCATTCGTTTATTCGTTCATCCATCCATCTTGTAACCTCTCTTCCTTTTCAGCAGAGTGATGAGGAAATGCTGTGGAAGCGTTAGACCAGATGAATTTTTCATACCCTTCAATGAACGAACGAATGAATGAATAAATGAACGCATGATTGAATCATTTATTCAATTGCTTTTTCATACATGGATATGTTGAATCATTCAACCAGATTGATAAATATATTTAGCCACTTTTAATGGTTTTGGTCAATAATAACAATGAGAACAATAGGAAGAATAAAAATTACATTAAACTCAGTCAGGTGATCAGTACACATACTGCAAAATTTCTGTTCATTCGCAGATACATTGCCTATCCACTCCATGATAGGTGTACAGGTTTACAGGCAGATGTACACACACACGCACACACACGCAACTGATGTACACAAACTAACCCTAACCGCAACCGCCAGAATTAAAACCAGAATAAAAGCACAGATGTACACATACACCGAAATGCACATTCGCATACGCAACTGATGTACACAAACTAACCCTAACCGCAACCGCCAGAATTAAAACCAGAATAAAAGCACAGATGTACACATACACCGAAATGCACATTCGCATACGTACACACCTGCTGTTATTGTCACATGTGTTTGAATATATATATATCGATACATACGCACAAAAACATTTGAGAACATTATTATTAATACATTGTTCGCTTGTTACGCCTATTTCTTAAAAAAATTGTTTTTTCTTTGTTTATTTGCATGCTTTTAATAATGTAGGAAAAGATATGCACCGAACGAATATTCTGCCGAAATTTGACTGATGGGCCAAACGGTGCCATTTACATTCAAGGCATCAAACTAAAACAGCTGCTGATTAATTATTATTAAACACATAGAAATAACCAGCTATCCATTAACACATGGGTCTTGCTCTGTTGTTTTGGTGACATGAACATGAATTTGAATAATAAGAAAGAGAGAGAGAGAGAGAGAGTACTGACTGACAGAGAACACGTCGTCCGACGTATAAAACAACCAAGATAAACCTTCAACTTGAACAGCAGCACGCGGTTACATGAGGCACATTATTCGTTTCTATTCATAATGGTATATTATCAAATGGAAAATCAAATACTGCATTTACACCAAAGTAATGACTAAGACTACGGCGAACGTGAGTTGAATACGTGAATGCGTGGGAGCCAAGGCTTCACGTTTTTGGCCGATTAGCTGAGGATCTCTGCGGAACCGGTCAGACATTTCCAACCATTACTTTATCTCGCTATTTCAAACCATCTTCAACTGATTGAATGTAATGAAGAAAGTTTCAACAAAAACATCACAACCCACCTCGATAAGCCGCGCATGCCTCGTATCAAATTAAACTTTGAAACATTTTAAAGTCTTTATCGACACAAAACTGCACTAATCTATTTATGCAATATCTATTTGATCGAAATTATCAACCTGATCTGTTGTTGATCAGTTGTTCTTCTTCTTGTAGTCTGTTCAACGTTATGTATGGTGTTTTTGCTGGCGTGTACGTACGTACGTAGATAGATATGTGCAACGTTCGCGTATATTTATAAGTAATATGGCTTCTGTATGTTGTATCTATGAATGTGTATGTTATTTATATGTTGACGATACCATCAAATCGTGCATCATCACACTTTCACGCAATCTTCTTTATGTCTCATGTGCATAATTTATATATATATATATATATATATATATATATATATATATATATATATATATATATATATATGCATACATATAATTCTCTATGCAGGCAAACAATAAAATGTCAGACGCTTTGAGCTGAACAGCTGGCGATCAATAAAATAATGTGAATAAAAATAAAATAATGTGAATGATAATAAAATGATGTGAACAATAATAAAATAAGGCGAATAATTAAGAAACAATATGAATAACGAAGCGATACAGTACAATGAAACTCATGAAGATGATAATTATAAGTTGAACAACGCAGTGAAACGTAAAATAAGAGTATGCAATGAAAAATTGTTGAAATTGATATTTAGCATATATTTTGGTAATCACATTAAGAACCATAACGCAATAACGTTTTCAGTTTTTCAATCATTTTTATCATTCTTTTAAGTTTTTTGTAACAATTTGAAAAATTTGTATGATCTGTTCCATTTGTATTTTGTCTTCTTGTTCTCACTTCCTCTTAACTCGTGTTAAACACTTTTTTGCTAAATTTGCATTTTTTTCTGGTCCTTTTCTCTGGAACTTTCTATCTCCTTCTCTGACTATTTTTCCATCAGTTACGAAGTTCAGAGCGGATCTCAAGACCCATCTGTTTTCAAAATTCATTGAGGAGCGCTGTTGAACATCGCGGAAATAGCGCTTTATAAACTAATTGACTGATAGATGTAAATTGAAAACTGAAACCGAGTCAAACTGTATCCTTTCATAGTTTGAAAATCTTTGCAAGAAGTTGTGCTTGCTCTTTTGTTATATTTTAACGTGCCTCGGCATTGTATCAAAAACAGCAATTTTGTTATCTGGATGGGAGCTGATTTTCATCCAATTCGATACCCTGAAAAATGAATTGATGAACAAATACTATTTTGTGTGATTCAGTAAAAAATTCGTTTCTTCTTAGATGAAGCTCGCAAGTGCACGAGTGACGCGATAACTGTTTGGTAAACTGTTTAATTAAAATTTCACCATTTGATTAAATAAAAATATGAATTTTCGACAAATTTGGGGCCCATTCTGGGTCTTAAAATTTTGTGTCTATCCATCTCCTGGTTAATAACAACAGCCAGAAAGTTGGAAAAGTTTAACCAATAACATTCGTGAAGTCCTTGTGTCACTTGTTGAATATCACCACGTTGCAACTGCTACAAAGTCTTAAAGATCGGGTTTTGTAAAGGTCGATGGTCGCCAATGTCCCGAAAGGTAAAAAATCACCCTCCAAATCTTCTCCGAAAGTAAGCTCCTTGTTTGACCGTTAAAAGTGAGCGAAGGCTGTTATATTTATTCTAGTTATGTAGTTATGTGAACTCTAATGTTACATAATATTTAGGCACTCCATATTTATTCCTCATTGTTTGATTATCCAAAAATTTGCATATGAAACCATTTTGTTAATAAATTTCATTTTCGTAAAGATGAATTTTATTCGTTAAATTTACATTTTCACGGAAAAATTTTCAGTTTTACGTTTCAAAAAGTATTTTCAACTTGATTTCAGTTAATAAAACTATTAAAAATGGCTTCAGCTTTCGTCGATGTTTTGACTGAAATGGGTTTTGAAAGGAACAGAGCGTTAGTAGAAAGTAGCTAGTGCTAGATAGAGAATTTCAATCAATCTAGAATTTAATTTTAAATTTCTATTAAGTTAGTAAATAGTTAAAATTCTATTTTATTTCAAAACAACCTAGTTTCAAATGTCAATTTCGAATATTTTGTAGTGAGAAAGCACTGGAGGAGACAGGGAATGCTGGGGTGGAAGTGGCCATGGAGTGGTTTGTTTATTTTATAGTTTGCTGTTTGCTGGATTCAAATTCATTCATCCACAAATTGTCACAATGACAAAAGTGTTATGTAAATCGAAACCAATCCATTCATAATCAATCAATTCATTAATTAATTATTAATATTTATTAATTCATTAATCATATCCATGAAAATAATTAATTTAATTGACTATTGAAACAATTAGTTATTCAATTGAAAGTTTAAAACTTTTTACCCTATTAAAAGTGAAAAAAATTTAATCAACCATGTTTTCAAAACAGACATTTGTCATAATCAAATGCAACAATTTTAAAGTCATTTGTCTTTTATAGTTATTTATAGCTGTCAATTAGTACAGAAAATTGGATCAAATTGTTCAATTATTTCAATTAATTACATGTATTTCCTACATAATTGATGGTTCATTTAGTAAATTGATCTACCACAACACACACCCAGGTTGATAACCCACGAAAATGATGCCATATATGATGAAGTAACTGATGAAACAACTAAAAGTGAATCACATTAAATTTATTTTTATCTTTGCTATTATATTTGTTTGTAAGTTTGAAGTATTTATCTGTGGTTATATCAACAGCAACCTCTTCATCATTATCAACAACAGCAGCAGCAGCAGAAGATATCTCAGCTGCAACAGCCACAGCAGCAACAACATCATCGACTGAACAAAGTGCCAAGTCTCTAAAATGTGAAGAGTAGGTTTATTTCATTATATTTTAATATGATGTTGATGAAGCTAATGACACTGGTGATGATGATGAAATTAATGATGATGACCAATCAATCACCCAACTGGCTGACCAAAAAAGTTGTGGGAAGATTTTTGCTGGGATTGGGGAGGCAGAGTTGCATGCCACGAGGACTGGCCATTCAAACTTCACAGAATCAACAGAATCAATCAAACCACTGACTGAGGAGGAGAAACAGCAACAACTTGTCAAGTAGATTGTTGTTGTGTTGGAATGTAAATTTGGATTGGTTGACAGTGATGTCCTATTTGGAAGATGATTTGTGATCGGTCAGTGTGACCTGTAGAATGTTTCTATTGTGATGTTAGACAATATAGGGATGTTTTGATTGGTTGATGAATATTCATTGAAAATTTTTTGCAGAGTCCAGGAGTTATTGAAGCAGAGAAGGGTGGAGAGAGAAGAGAAAGAGAGAGTGGAACAGCTGGAACGAGAGAAAAGCAGGAGGAATATGGGCAAGGAAATTTCACAAGCCAAACAAAAGTATGTTTGGTGATATATTGATTGATTGATTGATTGGTTGGTTGGTTGGTTGATTGATTATTGATTGATTGATAAATTGATTGATTGATTGATAAGTTGATTGATAAGTTGATTGATTGATTGATTGATTGATTGATTGATTGATTGATTGATTGATTGATTGATTGATTGATTGGTTGGTTGATTGATTGATTGATTGATTGATTGATTGATTGATTGATTGATTGACAGAATGCAGGAAATGGAGATGAAGAAGATTCTAGATCAGAGAAAGAGGGATAAGGAGGAGGAGAGAGCAGCCAAGTATATTTTCTATTTATTTTCACTTATTTCATCTACTTCACTTTTATATTATTTTCATTTTCTTTGTTTTTTAATGTGCTGTTTGGTACCTGAAAATTACGCTGTTATGTTATTCACTGTACGTGTCACACTGTTATGTTAATGCAGGCAGAGAGTGAAGGAGCAGATTGAGAAGGACAAACGAGATAGAGATCTTAAAGTGAACTTCAATAAAGAATTTTGTTTGAAATTTGGTCCCTTCAACTGTTTAAATGTCTTAATGTTTATTTTCATTATTGTTCTCTTTCTAGTTGTGTTATTAGCATTATTAATTTAATTTCAACAAATGATTCAATAGCAATAACAACTGATTTGATGGCAGTTAAATAAATTCAACAGTTAAATTATTGTAAATATTTTTTAAGTTTGGAAAGACAAACGCCGTGAATGAACCTCAGCAGCAGCAGCAGCTTCAAACTGCGACTACATCTCAGCAGCAACAACGTCTACCTCAACTCACCAAAGAGTATATCGAAACAAAAATTCAAGTATTCTTTATCAGTTATCACGTTCATCATCACCTTGCTCATCATCATCATTTTCATCATCTTGATTTCTGAAAAAAAATTTTCAGATCCGGTTATTAAATGGAGATAAATTAGTTGAAACGTTTAAAGTGGACGAAAGTTTGGCAGCTGTTCGTCTCTTCGTGCAGCAGAAATCAGCTGCTTCAGCTGCTGCTAACTCTGCTTCTACGGCTTTCTCTGGCTTGGGCCCCTTTACATTCAGTACCAACTTTCCTAGGAAAGATTACAATGACGATGAGATGCAGATGAGTCTTAAAGAGTTGGGTCTGTTGATATTGGTGATGTTGTTGTTGATGTTTTTGATGTTGTTGTTGTTGTTGATGTTTTTGATGTTGTTGTTGTTGATGCTGTTTAGGTTGGTGTGTTGTTGATGAACGTTACATTTTGAAACATGATCATCGTCACACAGGTCTGGTTCCATCTGCTGTGCTCATGCTTAAGAAGATTTATTAGTTTCCTATCATTAGTTACTTAGCTGTTTTTTTTGTTTTTTCGATAATTATTCGTTCGATATATGTTCAATTTGTTTCATGGAGTTGAATGTTGTTGAATTAATTTTTATAAATTAGTTATTTAATTACAAAATGAAAATATGTGTTGATGTTTTATGATCATTATTATTACTTTTCTATAACGTTTAGTCGTGCGGGGATAACGTGCCACCGAAATTTATTTCCAACTGGTTTCAGTTCAAGTTGATCGTCTGTAATCAGTGGGCCGCAGATATTTTCTCAGGGTAGGTAGGTAGGTAGGTAGTGTAGTGTAGTGTATTATACAGCTGGCGAGACGTTAACGCGAACATTATTTATTAAAAACGAGTTTACAGGAACATCATAATACGATTTAATGAATATTGCCATTTACGACTGTTCTACCGCAAAAAACTAGCGATGTTTTAATAGAATGATACAGATATAAGTGGATGGATAGACCGACAATTGAACGAATGAGCAAGTAGATGAATGAACAAAAGAATGAATAGAAATAATGGAATGTAAAAAGTATAAAAGGTATGTATATTCTAATATGAAGCTCTGATTAATCAATGTTATTTCTCTAAATTGTTCGTCACGCATTTAATTTGATGAATTTGTCGCGCGCCGTCCGTGCTTGCGTGCGCTTAACTTTCTACAATACGTCTGGTCGATTGTCTGGCAGCCTGCATGTTTACAGGTAAGTGTGTGTAGCTATGTTTGTACGTGTGTGTATTTTTAAAATAATAACGGTAAAGTTTCGCACTTGATAACAGTTGTGCTTTTATAAATGTTCTTTTGAGCCTATGAGTATGTTCACAGTACAGAGATAATAACGGCATTTAACATCAAAAAATTTGATGATGGATGACGGGGTAAATTTGATAATCCTGAAAACAATTGTAACAATTAAGATGATAAAGAATGATGGAGACATCGAAGTTGGTGGTTTCTTCAAAATATTTGAGTCTGCCTCGATAGCAGTGTGGCATCTTGAGTTTGTTGCTGGAAGAGAAGATCGTGTACTTTCACGTTGGCGTCATCATCGTCATCGTTGCCATCAGCTCTGTCATCATTATCGTCACTTCTTGGTTTCTGCGGCTGATGTTGTTGCTGCTGATATGTAAGAGTCGTTTCAATCGAACGCTGTTGCTATTCCAGATAAGAGTTCGTGTTTGTATCATCATTTTCCTTTATGTTATGCTTCTATGATTATCAGTGATATTCATTTATTCAATAAATTCAGAGTTTTATACATTCATCCATCCACTAATCAGGGACAAACCTTGAGATGGATGACCTTCTTGAATCTTCTCTTGTTCCTACCACTGATGACGTTGCATTCAATCACGCACATCAGAACAGAGATGATGACTGTGAGGACCAACGTTATGAAGATGGCCTTGAAGTTATCCACGTTTAACTGACCTAATTGTTTGAAAGAGTTCGGAAATAGGTCAGATAAAAAATGATGATGATAATAAAGTTATCAACATTCATAAATTGACCTGGATGCTTTGTTGTTTGTAGTCTCCCATCTAAGCATCCATTGTCGCCCCACCATCTGCGCACGTTGTGAGGTTGAAGATGATGACGATGATGCGATGTGACGTGGTGATGTTTCTTAAACATAACTTAATTTTTTTAAATATAAGACATCAAACTTGTCTTGAATATTTTTGAGGGAGCCATCTTCGAACATGAGGAGGAGGGCGGTGTTCAGATGGGTCTTCAGGTGCGAGTTCTTTTTCAAGCCGATGCCGTAATGCATGCTGTGGTAGTTGCTCTCTACGTTCTCCATCTCGCAGCCGGCATCTATTATTGCTCTGTATCTGTTGTCAGGTGTGTCTGTTTGTCTGTCTGTCTGTGTTGTTCTTCGTAAATGCCGTTAATTTTTGTTTATTTTGTTTATATATGACATTTATGTTTTTTTCTATTTGTGCTGGCATATTAGCTTTAAGTAACTGTGAGTGCGTTTAAATAGTAAAACATTGAACAAATGACAATCACCACATAGGCATCTGCACAAACACGCAACCCAACAAACATGCGACACCACAATTTCAGGGCCACCTATTGCCGAGATTGTGCCAGAGGAAGTAGTACTCATTTGAGGACTTGACTCTATCGTATCCATCCTTTGTACTTTCAACCATGTCTGTTACCGACAGCTGGAAGATGGAGTACATCTCCGCTGTCCCTGAGGTATCCCTGTGTTGTACGGTCTTGTGGGAGGGGGTGGATGTCGCATTAATAATAATAAGTATAATTATATCATGGTTTTGTTTATTACATTGATTATAATTATTAATAGCAACAGGAAGAAGAAGAAAGATAATTTTATGAAAACGATCGAGTCAACCTGCCACAAGTGCTTATAAATCGGGTTTGGTGACCTTTGAAGCATAATGCCCACTTCACTGTTCCTCACTGTCCCAAATCTTCCTTCCTTCTTCATCATCAACTCTTCCAAACTTCCTTTTGTTGCCTGAAGCTGATTGGTCGTCATTGAAGCCGCCATCTTGGCAGCGTACATGACAACGGTAACTAAGGAACACATCCTGAGACCAACCAATAAGAATTTACCAGCATTCGTGCGAGGATTTGATTGGTTGTTAAGAAGAAGTGTTGATAGGCTGAGTGAGAAACATGCCCATAAGCTCATTTTTTCAACCTGGTCAACATTTTTTCGTTCGATCGATGTTATTGCTTGTTTGGGAGAACGTTTGATGGTTGAAGTTGGTGTGGTTGCTGCTGTTGCGACTCTAGAAGCTCTCACAGGCGTGTTGCTAGAAGTTTCTGTTGTGTTGGTTGCGTTTGTAGCTGCCGTGCTGACTACTTCATATGTTCCTGACTGGCGATGCGACGTTTCATTGAACAACTCTCCACTTTTTACCCTGCTCACACCACTCATTTTTCGGCTGCCCATTTTAAAACCATCGCCATCGTAATCGTCACCAACTAATTTTTTATTGCTCTTCGAACCATCATTATCATAACTAGCAGTCCCACCAGCCTCATCATCTTCACCATCGAACCTTCTAGAAATATTTTTCTGATATGAAAACATCTTCAATCTCGGCGTGCATCTGGTTAATTAAATTTATTTTTTAATTTTGTTCATTTTATAATTTAAAATAAAATTGTTTGCCCACCTGTCGATGAAGAAGAAGACAAGAGTGATTGATATAAGGATTGCAGCGATGGTCAGCCAGGTCTCCAGTGTGAAGGGGTCAACGAATTTTACCCACTGAGGTTTCGAAGATTTGGAAAGGCCCAAGCCCGATAACTTGGAGGTGGCAAAGGGAAAGCTGAAGTCAATGACACGTGACCTCGAAGAGGTGATTGTCAAGGGGCCCAAGGCCAGGTCTGCTTTCTTTCATTAAGGGGTAGTTGGATAGGTGGATGAAAAAAAAATGGTTGAATGAACTAATAAACTATTGAAAAAATAATTGGTTGAACGAAATAACGCAAACCCCTTCGATGATCTCATTAACCATTCCGTCCCAACGTTCCCTCTCCTTTTCCTTCTCTCTCCTCGACCCCAACTTGCCGTCTGCAACGACGTACAACTTGTAAGTGAAGTCTAACTGTTTCGATAGCTGGTTCAAGAGGTCAACTACGAAGCCGTCGTAACGATCGTCATCGTCAGAGGTCGGGGAGGAAGTTTTCGCTATAAGAAATGGAGGGTCCTAACAAATGTATATATATATATATATATATATATTTATACATATATATTTATACATATATATTTATACATATATATATATATAAGCAAATGGCAGTAATGTCGTGTCATTGGTTCACATTTCTTCGCATTCATTCATTTATCCACACATTCAAGCCATCGATGAAACAAACATGCAAACACACAGACATGCGTAGGTACATACACAACATACACACAGACATACGTACGTGCATAAATACAAAAGGCTTTAGAGCAAACAACCAGTTACAAGGCACTCATGCACAGATGTATTACACGGGAGTCTCCATACAACACAACAACACGCCATAATAAGCTCTTAAAGATTGCTGCAGTGATTTCTACTTTCGTCTTGTCATTTCGTCACCATGGCTCCATCATCGTCATCATCATCACATCATCATCACCAAGTTGAAACCATCGCCAACCAATACAGCCACTACAGTTAACAAAATTCCTCCGAGTGACGTTTGAGGTGGAGGGAAAGATGGTGATGATGAGGATGATGATGGTGATGATGATGATGATGATGAAGAGGAAGAAGAAGATGATGATGTCATTGTGGTGTTGTTGCGTTTAAGAAGCAATTGGTTGGATGTAGAATTCCAGAATCCAAGCTAAGAAATATGATGATAGAATGATGATGATGATTAATAAGAATAATTATTATTAATATTATTATAAATATTATTCACCAAGAGAAATCGAGCAAACGCAATGAAACGCAACAGCATGCAGACAACATTTAATTTGTGGAGCAATACGTACGTACTTACATTCAATTCAATTTGTATATATCTCTCCCTCTCTCTCTCTCTCTCTCTCTCTATATATATATATATATATATATATATATAAAGAGAGAGAGAGGGAAAGCGTGCAAAAGAAAGAGTTTAGCATATAACTTTGAGAAGCTAAGAAATATGATGATGATGAAATGTTGATAATGTTTATGACGATGATGATAATGTTGTTGAAGACGACGATGATGTTAGAAATATTTTCAACGGAATTGGACAATGATTTGTAAATAATTTTTTAACCTTTTGTTGTTTTGTTTCAGTGATGATGACGACATCAAGCACGTGACCTCTGCGTTGTCTTATCGCCGATTGGTCGTTGAACGTGATTTGTCCCGAAGAACCCTCCGTATCGATCTGGTGATGAAGATTATGGTGATGAAGATGATGATAGAGACGATATTGATGATGACGATGATTGAAAAATGTGTGTGTATATATATATAACACATTGTCAATTTCAGCATACACACGATCATCATCATCAACAACAACAACAAAATCATCATCGTCTGCAGCAGCATCGAGACTAAACTTGTTTCAATATATAATTCATTTTGTTGTTGATTGTGTAGTTGTTGATGAATTTTAAACGAAGATCTTCATCATTGTTGTAGTTGCTGTGATAGTAGTTACTCTTCACCATATTATTGTTGTTGATGTTGTTGTTGATGTTGTTGTTGTTGTAACATCTGCCGCTATACAATCGCTGATGAACTTTTGTTATCTCGTCAATGAGATGCATAGAATCCAAATATAACATCTCATCCAAAGATAGTTGGCTGTCATGATAAGAATGATGGTGATTATCACGCTAATCGTGAATTTGGTGAAGACGATGGGGGTGATTGTTATGATGATGATGGTGATGATGTTACTAACAAACAGGGATAATGTTTTTGACATTTTAGCTGTTGGTTTATTAAATCAACAGTCTAACTTGACTCGTTCGCTAGGACCGTACTCATAGTTGCCATTGATGTTGTTGATGTTGTTGCTGCTTTTGAAGGTTAAAAATGTGACTCCACTGTTCGTGTACTCATCGAACAACTCATCTGCTACGTTCTGCGCCAATGTTTTTGTTTAGTCTCTTAGGTAAATTGTTTCTTATGTAAATTGTTTGTTCTCTAAATTAATACTATGCAGAGCCGGATTACGTCATAAGCGGGCCTTATCAAAGTATCAAATTCGGGACCTCACTTTTTAAAAGTAAGTTGCTATTGAAACAAATGATTATCAGTGTAGTAAGACGCTAAGAACAGTTTTTCTTAATTGTTGTTTTGTTAAATCCGTGATTGATTTTATTCAGGTTTACAAATTACACAAATAATTTTCGCTTGTTCTCCAGAAATCTTAAATTAGATAGAAATTGAACTAAGCCACTGAATTTGACAGTGCAAAAAAAATCATCTCACTCGTCACAACGTGTTTTATAGATCAAGTAATTGTGAGTTGAGAACAGATTTTATAAGCATGCTGGTCTTCGCGCTGATTCATCATGCTTAGATCCTTTAAACTTTGCAAAAGTTTTGAAAGTTACGCCAAGTGAGGCAGCTCCAGGTTGTATGTTGCACTGTGCAGACGGAACTCGATGAACTCCGTTGCAAAACAGTTTAATTTAATATTTAATTGTCATACATAAAAATAAAAATGAATGACAAAAGTATGGGCTCTTGAAAATTACCGGGGCACCTGGCATGTGCCTCGTTCGTCTATTGGTTAATCCGGCCCTGATGTTAAGCATAATTTTGCAAAAGTTATAATAAATATGACATTATGGTAAGTGATTGGTGGGACTAACGACGTTGTGAACGATCCAGATGTGCTGGCTGGTCATCAGGGCTGTCCTCATTCCCTCCACCATAATTTCATCCAACCTGGCCTCCTCAACCATCAGAACGATAATAAAAGTTTGAGAATTTCTGATCGATGATATAATATCTTTGGTAAGTTTGGGAAAATTACCAATTACACGGTAAGTTTTGATTGACTGGACATTGTCGTTAAGCAGCTGATTGGCCAATTGTAAGCCTGCTTTGATGTGATTGGATGTTTGGTTCGGATTGGTTTGTTGTGATTGGATGGTCAGTTATTGTATGTAATGTATGTTAGACTATTTTAAAGTTGTTTCAATTATTTAGCTGACAGAATGCAATTAAATTTTTTTATAACATACAAACGAATGGTACGTGACCTTGAATGTTATCGTAAATGATTGCCGCTCTTTTATTGGTTGGCCTAATTAACTTCAAAATATCAACCAGTACAAAGGTGGGCGGAGCTTGAAACATGGTGATCATATTGTCCAATGAGAAACAGGGCCAATCAGTCAATCTCAGTTCTTTGTGAACATTTTTTGCTATATAATCTATGCTATCATCAACGCTGATTGTGACGTCATTACTCTGGTTGCCATCAAAACTTATTTCATCATTTTCGTCATCATTGATTGTTGTTGGTGGTGATGTTGATGACGTCATAAAACATTGCTGAGACGAAGTAACAAAGTATGGAACGTTAAGAGAGTTGGTTGTGAGGGCGAGAGAATGAGTGTAGGGTCCAATTAGGAAGCTGATGTTTAAGCTCCCTAAATCCATGTAAGCTGTTTTGTTGTTGGTGTGTTGTTGTGTTGCTGGTGTGTTGTTGATGTGTTGTTGTTGTGTTGACGTTGTGTTGTTGATGTGTTTTTTGATTGTTGATGTGTTGTTGTTCTGGTTTTTATGTTTAACATAACTATTTTTATCGTACATATTGTTATCATCATCATCATTGTCGTTCTTACTTTTTGACAATCCTAAATAGGTCAAATTTGTTTCCAATGGGACAGCCTTCAACTTGACCTCCATAAACCTCCTGTTCTCATTGGTTGACCTCATCTGCTTCCACTGAGTTTTCAACCAATCAACGTTCAGCTCCATTTTGTCGGAGTCTTCAATGATGCCTTCGTTTCAAAAGCAATAATGACCATAACTTATTTATAATAATAATAATTATGTTTGAGCTAAGATGAAGTTCATTTCAAATTTGCTTCTAGAATACAATTCAACGAAACTGTTTTACACAATCATCATCTTCACCATCATCTTCACCATCATCTTCTTCATCATCTTCACCATCATCTTCTTCATCATCTTCACCATCATCTTCACCATCATCTTCACCATCATCTTCTTCATCATCTTCACCATCATCTTCACCATCATCTTCACCATCATCTTCTTCATCATCTTCACCATCATCTTCTTCATCATCTTCACCATCATCTTCACCATCATCTTCACCATCATCTTCATCATTCTTGTTCATTCATAGTAAATGCATTCGATTGAATGTTTGTTTTGTCAGAGGTTGTACGCTTGGTCTGTTTGTGTGTTTGTTTGTACACGTTCGTATGTCAGCGTGTGTACGTGTATGTATGTGTGTGCGTATGTATGTCTGTATGTATGTATGTGTGTGTGTGCCTATGTATGTATGCACGCATGTATGAATGTGTGTGTATGTATGTATGCGTGTATGTGAATATATTTGTTTTCTACGTTTTTAGTATGTATGAAAAAAGTAAAATTAATTCCATAGGCTTTGTACGTGTGCTAAGCAATGTTTATTTTAAACTTAATTTAATAAAAAAAATGATTGAATTTTATTTCATATTTCATTGAAAAAGCTTTAATTTGTATAGCGCTGTAAAGCGTTTAAATACTTGCTCTTGTGTGTGAGGCATTTCAAATACTTAATACATAATAGTCTTTAGACAATAATTAATTACTTTGAAGTGTTAATTAGTAATTGACAAATTTAATAAGTTTGACGAGAAAATTCCTTTATCAATCATTTATTTTTCTTTTACTCAGTCCGTGCCAGCCAGACTGCCCTAATTAAGCCTGGCGATCGTCTGCCTGATGATCTGTCCGAGACATAACTGCTCTTTGAAGTTAACACATATTTTTAGTGAATGTTAGTGCTAATGCCTTTTCTATTAGAAACAACCGGCATTTTATTCTATATTTTTATTTTATTCTATTCTATTTTTAAAACATTTATTAAACTTACTGCCATGTGATGTTTGCGTATATGAAGTAACAAAATGGAAAAATATGTAATGTACGACAGGTTTATTGAGCGCGCAAACTCGTGTAAATTGTATCAAATAAAAACTGCTTGGTGTTTGTAACAATTTTAAATACTTGTAAACAGTATTTGCTAGTAGTTTTTGGTATTTAAATACTGAATTTGCTAAATATTTGCAGAGTGTTTAAATATGTTGAGCATTTTGACAGCACTGTCAGTCTCAGATGCACTTGAATTTAACTTTCCAAGAAGAGGCGGCATTCAGAAGAATTCTGGCATGCGAATAACGGGAAGATGTCTTTGTATTTTAACCCCGTATTCGCAACTCAAAATGCGGCTTATAAACCACCATGAGCCACCACAAACCACCATGAGCCACCACGGACCACCATGAGCCACTGCCGGTTATTTAATTTATTCAACTTACTTTATCACTTCTAATATGATTGTACGTTCTAAATTGAATAGAATTGATGCCTTCAGCTGAAGAAAGGCATGCACCATCGCATTTTGCATCACTATCATCACCGTCGCCACCGTTATCAGCAGCAGCCGCAGTAGTAGCCACAATACAATCATCAACAGCAACAACATCATCTGCACTCAATCAAAGCTTGTTAATTAATTCTCTCCGATAACATTTTGTCTCGTAATTACCTCTTTGATGCTGTTGAAATAATTTCTTAATTTTTATTGTTCACAAAAAATATTTTATCGTTTTTCTCTGTGTAATTATAATCATTGCACATACGAAAGTATAATGCATGCGTGCATGTGTGTAAGTACTTCCTGTGTGTCTGTGTGTACCACCTATGCGTGTGTACGACGTTTAAGTGTGTGCGTGTAAGTGCATGCGTGTACGAACGCATGCACGTGTGTGCGCTTGTTTGTTTGTACGGTTTTTCTTGAGAATTTATTCAACCATCCAACTCTGTTTGCTCAACAAGACGTTGAAATGTCTGTTTGTAAGAAGGATGATGATGATGACGATGATGATGATGTTAGCGATAATGAAAAAATTAAGAGAATAAGAAATTTAGCCTTCAAATTACTATTGAATGAACGAACGTGTGAATGAAGAAACGAAAAATATACAAACAAACAGATATAAAAATATCAACAGATGATTACAGAAAAAAAGTACGTGTATATGTGTGTACGTATGTACGTGTGTATATGTGTGTGTATGTATGTATGTGTGTTTGTGTGTGTAGGTAGGTAGGTACGTATGCCTGTTGAAACTGAAAGAGTGAGCTAGCCCAAGGCCTCCGCCACACACAATCATCTCACAACCGATGGAACAATGAATGACAAGATGGTGAGGACGACGACGACGATGATGATGACGATGACGACGACGATAAAATTCACGCACACGAACATTCATCGATTATTAGCTTCTCCATTTACCATTCATCTCTCTTGCTGGCATCATTATCATCATCACCATCATCATCATCACTATCAGCATCACTATCATCATCACTATCCTACTCACCACCAATCAATCTAACAACAAACCTATTCTTATTGGCCAACACTTTTTGAAATCGGAGCTTGATGATGATGATGATGAAAACATTGAGGATGATGATGACGACGATGGTGATGACGACGAGATCACGACGAAGCATATGATGCAATTAAACACTTTCATTTTATTGCCCGTTGAAAAATTTCGTGAGTTTTGGTTGGCTGAAATTTTCAAATAAACTCACCCCCACCATCATCTGTACCACAATTACATTAGTAACATTATTGCTTATTATTATTATTCTTATTACAACCAAATATATACTTCACGATTGTCTATTTTATTTTTGAATTTATGTAAACCTCATTTCTAGACATCTAAATGGTAGCACGCCATAATAATATTTATAATTTTAATAATAATAATTATAATTATTAATAATATTATTCACCAAGAGAACTCGAGCAAACGCAATGAAACGCAACAGTATGCAGACAACATTTAATTTGTAGAGCAATTCTACATGCACCCAACAGAAGAAATACGTATGTACGTACTTACATTCAATTCAATATATATACTACATACATACATGTATATATATATACATACATATATAAATACATATATATATATATATATATATATATATATATATATAGAGAGAGAGAGAGAGAGAGAGAGGGAGAGAGTGTATGAGAGAGAGTAAAATATAATTTTTTAAGGAATGGATTTTCATGATAAATTATCACCGCCATTGTAATCATCTAAATCTCGATCACTATTTTCATCATCTGCATCATCGTCATCATGGTCACGTGATGCTCTTCAAATTGCCTGCATAAAGACACGACTCAATAATTGTCACATGCAGACGTACTGCTAAGTATATTGCGCCATCACCATCATCATCATCTGCATCATCATCATCATCAACACCAGCGAGTGAACATACAAATACAGAAACAAACAAACAGACAGACAGACGAAACGATTAACAAAACGAGGCAAATTTTTGTGTTTGGTGAAACATGCCAAGCAAAGAGGCACAGATATTTCTTGTGTGAGAACAATAATATTAAAATGCTACAAAATTGTGAGTTAAAAATGAAATAGGTTATAATTTATAACCAAAACACACACACACACATACATACACACGCACGCACACACATCTTCACAGAAGAAAGTTTATTGTAGCAAAATAACAAGATAATTCATCACAAAGTAGTTTTTATATACTTCTAGTGCATGTAATTGTATATATAAATATAAATATATATATATATATATATATATATATATATATATATATATATATATATGTTATATACATATACTTAAATAAATGAATAAATATAAAGATAGATGGATGAATGGGCAAACATCAGCAGTGTTGTTGTACATTCAGCAGTAGGAAGTGGGATCAAAATGAAATCCCCAATGTAGAAAAAATTAACTTTGAAATAAAAAAACGAACGTCTTAAAATAATTTTAAAGGAAAGCATTGCAAGTTAAAATCATCAACATCATCATCATCGTTACCATCACCACCACCACCATCATCATCTTGTAGACGTATTGAATTGTTTAAAGAACTCTGCGGTTGGTTCATTTGTGTACAGATCCTGTGCATAATTCCATTTATTAAAAAAATATTAATTATTATTTTTTATTATTAACATTATTATAATAATAACAATACTAGTAGATGACTGAGGTTGGGACTGACCTTATTGAGGTACTGCTGCATGGACCGCTGCTCCCTGGCCAGTTTCAAATTCTCATCCGCCAACATTTTCATCATCTCCTTCCTCTTCCTCTCCACATCTCTCTCCATCAATGTGGCCACTTTTGATTGGTTGAGGCGCTGACGATCCTCTTCCTCCTGCGTCCTTCTCTCTTCATCTCTGCGACGCTGCCAACCAGCATAATGGCATTCATTCAATTGGTTGTCAATTTATGCACTTATCTTTTCATCCATACATGCATTCATCCATCCATCTTACTTTAGCCTCCAAAATTTGAAGTTCCTGTAATCTTTTGATATCTGCCACTTGTTCTGGCGTCATACCTGCAAATGTTTATAATATTGCGCTATAAAATAGTAATAACATTTTATAAAATTACTATAATAATAATAATAATTAAAAGTAAAAAAAATGTTCACTCATTTATTCAACTTATGCCTTTTAATCTTATCTAACAAAAAAGTAAATCCACGTATTAAAAAACGATTTAAATTTTTAATTTTTCTATCCGTCCATCCATTCATCCATCCATTCATCCATCCATCTTTCACATACCTTTCCATCTATCAGGAACGACGCGGTGTCCTCCGAAGGCACTGACGGCCACCAACGGGTTCTCCGTCAGGAAATCCCCGTAGATATTATTAGAAAGCTCCGCCCTTTTATCTTCCTCCTCCCTCCTTCTCTCATTCTCTTTCTTTAATAATTGTTCTCGCAGCTGTTTGGAGGTTTTGAAATGGTACTACAGAAATTGAAATTGAAAAACCGGCGAGCAAAATGGGGCGACCAAACTACACACAGCGTGAGTAAAACATGACTAAACTGCACAAGTAGAAGTTATAATTATCACTTGAATGAACAAAACTTGTCAACAAATCAATGTCTACTTGAATTAACGCTTCAAAATAAAATTTATCCATCCAATTATATTTGGTACTCGAATGAATTTTTTCCTGCCGATAAACAATCTCCTATAAAAGCTCAGGTCTCTTCAATATTAATTTCAATCCACATAATTATTATTAAATAATGACATTTTTATGAAATTTGGATATTTTTATGGTTCGGAGGACTTTTTCAGGAAGCTTGCTTAAAGACGTAGGAGTAGGGCGTTCTGGCCAGCGCACGAAACGAGCAACTACTACATATAATGCGGCAATGAGCTATGATAATGACACAACAATCATAATGATACGAGCAGTAGTAATTGTTATAACATACCAAGGCATCATTATAGTTCTTGGTAGCCTTATTGATAGCTTTTCTGCATTCTTCTTCAGCCTTCCCGAGTTCAACTGCACGCTGGTCCATCTCGATCATTTTCAACTCGTACAATTTGTCGGCAAGTCGTTGGTTCTCCTCTGATTGTTTCCTCTCTCTAGCTTGCTGTTCGGTCCAGTGACGCAATTGTTCGATCTGCTGTTTTCTACGTAACTGCGTGTGCAAGTGTGTGTGTTTTGTTTTCTACGTAACTGCGTGTGTATGTGTGTGTTCGCGTGCGTTCTCTGTTATGGCAGTTGTGTAACCAAACAGTGAGAGAATTTGAAATTGATACAAATGAATGAAAGAGAAGAAAGACCACCTCTCCATTGAGATCTTCCCCCATGAACATCTGAGCACAGGAAGGTCCATACTTGCTACCATCGTCACTAACTCGGGCTGGCTGATCTTTCTTCAGGGCCTGTGGATCATAGAGATCAAACTCCCTTCTACATTCAGCTGTTTGATGCTGCAGACGAAACTCGTTCAGTGCAAAATTCATTCTTCTTTTATCTTCCTCCAATCGTCTGTCCATCAACTGGGCTATTTTGTCGTTTCTCACAGCTTCTGCATCTGTTTGATGTTTGATAAATTGAATTTTTAGTTGCTATTTTCAGAGTAAAAAAATTTAAAAATTAATTAATATAGAGATAAGTTAAATCTTAAATGCAAACAAATATTTTCTGCTACAGTAAAATAATATTACTTCTAAATTCTAATTAATCTTCATAACTTATCAACCAAGGCCAGGTACCAGGTATACCAGTTCAAAGAAATCCAATCTAAACTAAAATAAGGACCAAACAAATGACTCTTTTCAGAGTCACCCCGCCTAAATAAAACAACTAACCAAACGCCTGCTGCCTTCTCTTTTCCGCGTCCTGCATTTGCTTCTTGTCCCTGATTTGCTGGCTGAGTACCTCTTCATCGACACCTATCTGCCTAACTCGAGCATTGAAGATTCTAGCTTTCCTCTCTTCTTCCTGCTGTCGACGTCGTTCGATGGCCGCCGATTCTTTGTAATCGATCGGAACGTCGATTTTGTACATTTTCAACTTTTTTTAAAATAAATTATTATAAAATTTTCAATTGAATCAAATATTTCTGATTAGAAATAAACTCATCGGCAGACAACAGATCATAATTTTATTTATAACACGGTTGCTATAGAAACGCTACCTAAATGTTTTAGTGCAACTAAAAAAAAATTTAAGTTTCAATAGAGCTGTTAGAGCTATGTTATTTTAATGACTTGGATTACTTCTGGAATGGGCAAACCAAATTATTATTATTGTTACTATTAATTATTCTAATTAAATGGGGCAGACCAAGAGGAGGCCTATTTACCAATATACAACACTTTCTTATGGGTTGAAGCAGGGATCTGCAAAGAATCTCAATTTTTTAACTTTTAATTATTTTCGGTAATGACGATTTTATTTTTTTAAATTTATACCGAATAAAAGTAATTAATTACCACATTGAATAACAATTTAAAAAAAATTAAAATTTTAACTTTGTATATTAATATTCTAATTATATGTATCAAACAAAGTAGTATCATAAAATGAATAAAGATATTTTTTACAAAAATTTAAAAAATTCTCAATTTGATTTCATTGCGATATCGACGATGATGATGATTGTGACCTGACTAATTAAAAAACATCAAATAAAATTTATTAAATAGGATGGATAATTCGTTGCGAAATCGTTGGAGGAAATGACGTCATGTTAACAGTAATTATTTTACTGCATGGTAGTTAATCAGCCGGTATAAAGGTTGTATGCAATTCCTATCAAATAAATTTGACTAAATATCATACGCAGGCAGAACTAAATAAAGAAATAGATAGATATATATATATACGAATTTATAAAACATTTGTAATGTTGTATATACACATTCAAATTGTACAATTTTGTTATGGTGTAGTCTCAAATTATTTTGAATTCTCTCAGAAAAATTTAAACTTTTTATTATATATCAACAATTTTATATATATATATATATATATATATATATATATATATATATATATATATACAAACACACACACACACATGCATGCATGCACTTGCTATTATATTGTCGTAATTTGTCCATTCCTCTTAATTATTCCTACTTTTGTAACATAAAACCACAAATATAAAGTGTAAAATGAGCAGTGTTAACAACCAATAGGTAAGCTAAGGATTGTGTCAGTTGAACAGGAAGGTGAGATCTGAGTTAATTGAACATAGCCTAGCCATGGCTCGAATTAAAATTAAAGTATAGAAAAAAATTAATTGCGCGCACACACGCATTACGCACACAATACAAAAAACAAACATGTTTCAAACATGATTGATTGATTGATTGATTGGTTGGTTGATTGATTGATTGATTGATTGATTGATTGATTGATTGATTGATTGATTGATTGATTGATTGATTGATGGATTGATTGATTGATTGATTGATTGATTGATTGATTGATTGATTGATTGATTGATTGATTGATTGATTGATTGATTGATTGATTGATTGATTGATTGATTGATTGATTGATTGATTGATTGATTGATTGATTGATTGATTGATTGATTGATTGATTGATTGATTGATTGATTGATTGATTGATTGATTGATTGATTGATTGATTGATTGATTGATTGATTGATTGATTGATTGATTGATTGATTGATTGATTGATTGATTGATTGATTGATTGATTGATTGATTGATCTCATAGTATTGTATATATGAAAAAAAAATTCGATTAACTAACCTACCTACAGCCTTAGTAGCAAACAAACCAAGATGATGATGATGGCAGAAAGACAAACAGACAACCAAACATGCAGACAACCAGACAAACAAACCAACACACATACCAACACACATGCTATACAAACAAACAGATAGCAAGGCACAAACCTTATAGATGATACTCTTTAGGTACTTCGTGTTAGAAACGTGTACAAACGTTAATGAAACTGCTTTTATATGAATTTTATCGAATTGTTGGCATTAATCAATTTAAAGTTTGTCTTTACAATTTTCCTTACTAGAATTTTCTGGAAATTGTTCAATTTATTGAAAGTAGAATTATCCAAGTTCATCATGAAAATTTAATGAAACTGTTGTAAACTAAAAAATAGTAATTTGATTCAATCAAATATTAGTCGTTCGCTCTAGTGACAATAGTAATCTTACTCTTCTTCTAGCTCTTGGCTTTTCCTCTGCCTTTGATACTTTGATACTACTCTCTTGAGGCTGCTAGATCTTTTAATATTATTGATTCTTGTCTATCTTAGTTTTCTTCCTATCTCTGTAATCGTTTTTTTTCTGTTGTTCTTAATAATTCTACTTCCTACTCTTCTAGTCTCACTTTTAGGGTACCTCAGGGTTCTATCCTTTGCCCTCATCTATCTATACTCTAAACTTCTGAACTACCTCGTATTATTAATTTTTTTTCATTAGTCAAATATATGCTGATGATTCTTATATTTATACTTCTTTTCTCCATCTAATCTCAATAGTGTTCTTCATAATCTATCTATCTCTATGTCTTTCTTCAATTATCGTTGAAAACGCTCTATAGCTCAATTACTTTCTTCAATAAGACATTGATATACTAGCGAACTATGCTGAGAGTTTGAGATCTCAAATTTTAGTTTCTTTGTTCCTGGCAAATTAGTCAATCGAGGGGGACGTGTATGTAATATCGCTCGATCGTTATTAAAAATTTAAAAAAATTTGATTATATTCATTATTTTGAATATATTTAAATACATTTAATTAAAAATGGAAGATTTCTATGAACCGCCACGTAAAAGACCGGCGATAAAGTTGGAAAAGCGTTTGATTGTAGTGCTTGAAAGAGCCTCACTGGAAAGTGTGAAAGTTGGTTTTTTAATAATTATAATTTACTTAATTTTTTATTAAACCTAAAAGTTTTTCGTTCTCTCTTGTTTACTGATTCTTAAAATTTCATTAAAAAATAATTTTCCTTTTCCTAACAAGTTCTAACTAATTAATGATCCTAACTACTGATAATAAAATACTAAAATTTAATTAACTATTACTATTATTAATAATAGTCAATAATCTGAATAATTTGTTATTTATCAAATAATTGAATTAAATATAATACTTTCATTAAATGATGTTAATTTGGTTCAGCTATCTACTGTAATGTAATGTTTATCTTTATATGTTTGTTTATGTATATTATAATAATATTATATTATTTATTATATTTCTTGAATAATCTTTTTTAAAAGTGATGCTTCTCTAGATGATGAAACCTAAATGAATTTATTTTTAACCTTTTTGTCAATCTCAATTATCTTAATTAAATTTGATATATAAGCAAATTAATTTTGATTATCTAAGGTAGGGAAGGAATATCAACTGTTGAATTGTGATCGTCATAAGGGGATAGCAAAAAAGTTCAAGCGAGATATTTCAACGTGTCGTCCAGATATAACACACCAAGTAAACTCTTTTCATCTTATTTCATTTTATTACAATTATATCCTTATACAACATCATTAAGGGAATACTACATAATTATTTATATTTCCACAATCATCATGTGCATTTCTTTTTTTTCATAATTTTTTTTATGTACTAATTATTGTTTGTTATATATTTTCATTTGTTAGTGTCTGTTGATGCTGATGGACAGCCCACTGAATCGAGCTGGCCTGTTGCAAGTCTTCATCCGAACCGAAAAAAATATTCTCATCGAAATCAATCCTCAGACTAGGATTCCGAGAACTTTTGATCGTTTCTGTGGCCTTATGGGTTTGTCTTTTTAAATTATTCTTACTCTTTGTTTCAATTATTCATTATTTTGTTATTATTTTATTTCATTTTTTATTGAATTATTATCTTTATTGAATTATTATTCTGAATAGATTTTCAGGTTATAAAAATTATTATCTTTTATAATAATTTGCTCAAATTTTTTAATAACCTTCAGTTCAGTTACTTCAGAAGTTCAGTATCCACGCTCTCGATGGGAATGTGAAGCTTTTGAAAGTAAAGTCTTTCTGCTTTTTTAATTATTTATCTGCTGGAATGTAGTCATCCCAACAATTTTAATTTTTAATTGCTTTCTATATTATTATGGTTCATTATTTAGATTAAATATGTTTTTTAATAATATAATTTAAAAAAATTATTTAAGGTTATAAAAAACCCCATTACTGACCACTTCCCGAATGGTTGTATGAAGATAGGAACGTCGTTCTCTGCTGAAGTCGTACAAGATCCAACGTCGGTTATGACATCAACGACTAACAATGATGATGATGATGCTCCGATTGTTTTTGTGGTTGGGGCTATCTCTAGAGGATCAGTAAATAATTTTTTAAATTTTAATATTTCATTATGTTCTCATAAGGTTGTAGTTTCTATATTTCCTTCATTAAGTATCGATTGCGTACGAGTTTCAAAACTGTCTTTGTTGTTTTTATTGATGTTTTTTACAGTAATATTTTATAATGTGATATTGATGTAGTTTTATTTTAATTGTATGTCTGTGTGGATACTATGGTTTTTGGAATGGGACAATGCCTGCTTAAAATCATTTTGTGTGTGTTATTCATTGTTTTTATGGTATATTTTATTAATTTGTTAAATAATAATAATTAGGATAATAAAATTATTCAAATAAATAATAATATGGTTTAATATAATTAAATTAAAACAGATTGATGTTGATTATGTAGAGAAGACAATATCTCTTAGCAGTTATCCTCTGTCGGCTGCTCTAACGTGTGCCAAGCTGTGTGGTGCCTTTGAGAGGAGGTGGAATGTTTTGTGATGCTGGTCATCATTATGATGAAATGACTGTATAGCATAGCGAGAAGTATGATGATGGTGCTGTTGATGTTGGGGAATATGATGAGTGATGGTTATGAATTTGTCTTTCAAGTCATAATTTTTTTTGTTTTTATGTTATCCATCCATCCATCTTGTACACATACCGACAAAACTTTAAAACAGTGTTGTTAACGACGTTGTTTCAATTTACTAACCAGGTGGTTTAAGAGCGAAAGTCGTGGAAATTTGACTTGTCATGTTACATTCAAAACTATAGGCGCTAAACATCTGATTATTATATTAGAAGAAGTTTAGAGAGGTTGAGCGAGAGAGAGAAAGATAAAAACTGATAAAATTATTGCAATAAAGGATTCTATCGTTATAAAGCGACTTTTACTCAAGGGTATATATAATATGAAATTAAATCCATTTTGGTACAAACTGTGTGTATTTTACACAGCATGTAGACACCGTACGTGTTGGAATATTTCATCGCCGGTTCATTTTAATAGTTTTTAAAATTTTAAAATTTATCTCTTACAATTTGTTCGATCCCGTGAAGTTTAATTAATGGATGGTACGGACCAACATTTTCTTTTGCAGCAACTGGTTCATTTTAAAATTGGATATATGAATACAAGGTATGTATTTAAATAATTCCAAAAAATAACATTTTTGGATGAAAATATTATCGTAACTATCAAATAAAGTACGAACGCTAGCTGAAAATATAACAGGAATCGTAGAATGGAAGCAATCGTTCTGGATGCATATATTTATATCCATGGGTATTTAACACTATCATTCAGAAGATAAATGAATGAACGAGTAAAAGATGAATAAATAGACTAATGAAAATTTAATTCCTCTAATCAAGGTATTTTTTGTTTGGTTACATGTTTTGTTCGGTGGGCCATTCTTTCTAACTTATTAAACTAATAATTTACTTATTTTAATTATTCATCTTTGCGTTATTTCATCTCAAACGTTTATAAATTGCTTGCACTCGAGTTAAGATCAGGCATTTGAAGGAAAGTATGTTGCATTACGACAGATAGTATTGAACCAATGAAAGCATCGAAAGTATGAATCGCGCACAATATTAATATTGGTAATATAAACCATTTTCATTGATGAAAAATCCGATAAAATAAACAAATATGAAACAAAAGTATAAAAAGGTTTCAAGAACGCCTAAAGTTCAGTAGCTCCGTAACCTTTGAACTTGCCAACGTCGCCATTTTTTGCATCGAGGCTAATTTTTTTCATCCTATCATCTTCAACATCATCAGCAGTGCTGTTCGTGTTTTCATCGACACTATTAGGAACATTTGTTGTTTGCTGTTTGTTAGTTACGTAGACGTATGAGTAACTCATGATGATGAAGATGATCGTCGTCACCAGCATCAAACAGGAGAACAAGAAAAACTCCAAGACCTTTTTGATGTAAAAGATGGAGATGCTAAATTTATCGTCATCACCACCGCCATCATCCTCATCACCTGACTGATCATTCCAGAAGCACCTTGCACGATGATGATGATGACGTTGCCCACTCCAACTGTTAAGAGCCAGATGGAGGTCAGAATCGATTTCATCGAAGCCGGTGCCTGTGGGCGGGTTCTTACGTTAAAATGCTCAAAAATTCTATCGTCGATGCCAATACCGGCTCTATAAAAGCTACTGCTGGTACCGACGCCGCTTGCCATTTTAGATAGGACCGCCAGCCTAAATCGATACTCGACACGAAAGTAATACCGATACCGAAGCCGTTACTAAATATCGGCGTGACCTCGAAATTAACAACCCTGGTGCCTGCATGTGATTGGTTGAAGAGTCATTCATGTTACAACGTGATTGGTTGGTCAAATATTGGCCACAATGCAACGTCAATAATTGGTTAGTTTAGGTTTCGCTGTTTCTTTAATTTCAGCTTCTGATTAAAATTGACTCAAATAATGTGTGACCTAATTAAATATTTGACAATTAAATGTTTGACCTGTGTGTAGGTGAAGGAGAGCCCCGTAACTGAAAAGAGGCACTCACCGACGGTTATAACGACATACTGTGGGGCTTGCATGAAGATATTTATCGACCAGGCCGGAATCTCCGTGATCTGAGTTAGGTGGGTCTGAATTTTCAGGGATGTGTTTGTTGTTATGTAATTGGTCGGTTGTTTTTGAATAATATCGTCATCACGTCACGTCATCATTCTTTTCAATACTTCTCAATAATATTCAAATGAGTCAATTTTCAATCAGTCAACTAACCAACCAATCAACCAATTAGAAACGTAGTCAACCAATGAAGGAACCTCATTTTTATCATTGTTAGCGAGCACTAGAATGTAGAGAGGCCCGTTCTTTGATTTGATGACGCTCTCGAGTTCTGTTGTTTTGTTCAGTTCGTTTGTGAACGTGGCTTTGAAACTGTTTGAATTATTTTTAGTTCACTATCGATTGGCTGGATGTTCGACTGATTTCAATTTCATCGTCAAATCATGTACAACTGCTTCATTTTTCTCTACAATCGTTAACTTTTTCAAACGTTCGAAAGCCTTTTTTCACAATCTATCGATGAATATTTTTGTATAAAATCTACTTCATTGTTTCTCCTAAAAAGGATATCACAATCATCATCATCATCACTATCGCAATCATCATCATAATTACAAACTCGGCGTAGATGAGGTTTTGAAACTTGGATACCTGCCCGACACCAACCCAACCGAAGTCACGTGGTTCACTTTCCTGGCCGGCTGTGGTGAGTAGTTCTACCCGAGTTTCGTAGTTCAGACCATTGAATATCCTGATGTTCGTTTTTGTATTGCATTAAATATCTATCCTGTATTTAAGTACCTTGCGTGTGTTTTGTATAAGATAGAAAACGTATTCAAATTTGTATTAGATTGATTTCAGAGTTTCACATGTCTGATCATTGAATAATTTTGTATTTTTGTGTCGCATTTCATTCATCAGTGCATCGCTGACTTGTGTATTTTGTATTAGTTGTAAAAATATCAGAGTTTGTACTGAGTTGTAGAAAACAATTTTCAATTGCACCCACAGTCAAAGTTATATCCGAATAAAAAACTTATCGATACTCCAAAAATACCTCGCAGTTGATTCGCCCTTCTCTGTTAAATACGTTCGTGGCTGGACAATCTGGTTGATATTTATCGTTCATAATTTAATATCAACAGTAATTATTATGATAATATTTATATTTATGGTTAATATTATTGTACCAGAATACAAAAACTATTAGTCACTCTAATAAAAATCATGAAACTGCCTCAACAAACCGATACAACTTCCATATCAGACGTGACGAAAATCTGATAGGCTGTCAATTCCTCAAAGTAAAAATCCGTCACAGTCATCAGTTCTTTGTTAATATTGTTGTGATTATTCCCATTCATCGTTTCATTGTCAGCTAAACTACTTTTACTCAAACTCCCATCGATCCAGTTGACGGTGAATCTATAATGGCCGGATGGTGCGTATGTATATCTCAGTTCGTTCGTTGCTAGTTCCTTGTGTTTGTGTGTGTGTGTGTCTGTTTACATGTGTGCATGCATGTAAGTGTGATGTGAATATGTGTAAGTAGGAGAACGTTCGTAAATAAATATTTTTCAATTCAATTGTCAGATCAGACAACCGATACTAACATTCAACGGTGGAACAAAAAAGATTGTGCTGCTACTTCCGTTACTACTGCTGCTGCTACTGCTGCTGCTTTTGTAGTAGCCAATGTAGGTGGCGGAGACGTTGATACTTCGAGGGCTGGTGTTGACGATCTGATACTTTGTTTCGTTCGCAGATAGTGCCACTGGTTGGTCGGTCTAAATAAAAATACAATTAACAAATGATTAGATAATTTTCGATTAAGAACTTAGTGAGCAATTTAAATGAAAAATATTTTAGAACCATTTTAGAAAATGTCATTGGAGAAAAAAACTTATTGATTAACAAATAGTTACTCAATTAATGAATGTATTTATTCATGTAGCTATTCATTTCTTATCTACTCATTCATTTATCAACTTGTCAAACAAAATCATTGCGAGAAAAAGCAACCTACGTTGATGGCGATCTGTAAGAAGCCAGTCATGAGGAAGGCAACCGCGGCGAGAAACATCCCAAGCGACATTTTCTGCAAGGGTCTGTTCGTATGTTGGCGACAAATTCAATTGATATTTGCATTCATCCAGGCCGATTGATCTCAAAACTTTGGAAAATAGATTATTTTATGAAAAATGACCGGCATCGAAATTTGCCTCACGACTAGGAAACGAACGTGAGAAGTTGTTAAGAAAGTTGGAAAACTTGAAGAAGAAACATGAGGGTTCGATAACTTCGATTTAATTCAACGAAATATGTATTTATAATAAATAACAAGTAGATACCTGAGAGGAATACGCATTTTCTCGAAGCACGGATAGACCAGGTACTCCAACAATGGCACAACCATCACAACCAGACTGGGGTTCAGAAACTTCAAATCATATTTTAGTAAATGCTACTACCTTTTGTGCTATTATTATTACTACTACTTATAATAATAATAATCCAAGCAATAATAATAATAATAATCATGAGAATATTATATTTGAAATGAATGAATACATGAAAATACTCACACTTATCATGTCTGGCAAGACAACAAATCCGCTCTGAAGAAGTTGAGATATGTTTAATATTTTAAAAAAGTATTAAAATTATTCATTTATTCATTCCTTTATTTATTAATTTTTACCATCTCTCCATTCATCTGTTGGGCCTGAAGTGTCCATTTGGAGCCCTAGGCAGTTGTAAATGATAATTTGAAATGAATAATCATCATCATCATCGTCATCATAACCTGCTGATCGAACAATGCCCAGAAGACTGGCAATGGAATGAAGAGCCAGGCTACTTTCACCACGTCTTTGACATCATTTATGAAGGATTGCTGTGTGTGCGTGTGTGTATGTGTGTGTGTGTATGTGTGTCAATATGTTTGACTGTTTATCGACATTTCAAGTGTTTCTCGATCATTTGTTGGAAAACCATTTTTAATAGAAAAACTGTTTTCCAGAATAGATGGGGCAGTTTTTTGAGATTTGCTGACAGAAAATGATGGCTCGTTCAAATGTTATGAAATCTTTTCACTCACATTTCTGTGAAGTCATGGCCGCTGTAATTTTTTTATGTTTGTATAAAAAATATCTTCCTTGAAGTCAGTATCAATCTGTACTTCGAAGATTTCTAACAGTTCAATAAAATCGTCGCCACCAGCATCATCATCACCATCACCACCAACATCATAATCAGGAGCAGCATAGTCCAACCAATGGTTCTTCTTCACAATATCATCATCATTTTTGCTGCCCCTCTTCAAACCACAGCAACATTTCTGACCCAGGGCTTTCTGAATCATGATGATGATGTTGGTGGTGATGATGATGTCGGTGGTGATGATGATGATGATGTTGGTGGCGACGATGATGATGATGATGTTGGTGATATCATCATCATCACAACTAACCACGATGCAACCGGCAAACTTCATCAGAATGCTCTCTCCGGCCGGGTGCCTCGTGTATCGCTTTGTGCCGAAACTGAACACCACTGGAAGGTCAAGGTCATTTGAATAATGATAAGGTCAAGGTTGGTTAATAAATAGGTCAATTTGATTGTCATCGTCGTCGCCAACTTACCGACAGCAGATATCATGAGAATAGCGGGAATACCGAAACATAATGAGTAGCAACTGTCTTCAAAGCAATATACGTTGCCTGTGTGGTGTGTGTATTTTTCTTTTTTTGTGTACATTTTGTGTATTAATACTTTAGCAAACGCCGGTCAGATTCAGTAGTAATCGGCGTGCAGTTCAAATAGAATGCAAGTCCTAATGCAACAAGCGGTGGAGATATTGCTGCACAGTGTTCAAACAGACTTAAGCATACAAATACCGACATGGACCTCTGAAACAAACAGACATAAGGATACAAATACCGACACCGACCTCTGATATACGGTATGAGGATGGTTGATATCAAACTGCCGATGTTGATTGAGAGGTAGAACAAGGAAAAGAATGATTCTTTTTCTCTAACCTTCATATATTTTATTTATTTATAAAGTTATTGGATAAATATACTTATAAAATAATTATGACGTCATAATTATTATAATATTTACTTGAATATAATAAATTTATTAATTTGCAACCTGGTTATCTGTGAATTGGTCACCGCCGAATGACGAGACGCACGGTTTTATTCCACCAGTTCCGAAGCCAATGACCACCAAGGCCACGAAGGCCAGCCAGCTGTTTCGCGTAGATTTGCATCAATTGAGAATGAACTTGTACAAATTAAAAAATGAAAATGGGATGATTCTATTGAAGATGAAGAAATTAAAGATTTATTTTTTAAAAATTGTCACAGATGACGGCAAACATTCGGTGTGAAATAAAAATCTAAAAGTTCATCGGACGTTCAACACACAACCTGACGATATCTTTCAACCCATTTTTATTAAACTCCCCGATTTACAGACACAATGTCTGTCCTACCTTGTTTTCTTACAAAATGAAACAACGATGATAATAAAAATTGAAAGTAGAAACGGAATTTTTGAAATGTTATATTATAAGTAAGACGATGAAATGTTCTAATTGCGAAAGAAAGAGAGAGACGGACGGGTGGATGGAAATATATTATGAATTTTGTAAAATTACACTCCCACACATCACAGGCCTTTCAATCAACAAGATATTTCATTACAAATGTAGTATTTATATTGCATGATTTAATATTAATCGCTAATTTGCATAAATTGAAGCTAATAAGCATAAATTAAGTTAATTAAATAACTTGGTGTAATGGCCGTTAATGGGGAAAGCCGATAATGTCATTACGATGTTTCCCAGAGCGTAGAAGATGGAGACGTACAAGATGGTACTGATGATGATGATGATTTTGTATTATCATCATCACTACCATCATCATCATTAAACAATGAAATGTTAGCAAAAATATGAATATCGATTCGTACGTTAAACAGCTGTTTGTTGTGGCTGATGATGATGATGTTGTTGTTGTTGTTGATGATGATGATGATGTTGTTGTTGTTGATGATGATGACGATGTTGTTGTTGTTGATGATGATGACGATGTTGTTGTTGTTGATGATGATGACGATGTTGTTGTTGTTGGTGATGTTGATGTTGTTGTGGCTGATGATGATGATGTTGTTGTTGTTGATGATGATGATGTTGTTGTTGTTGATGATGATGATGATGACGATGTTGTTGTTGTTGGTGATGTTGATGTTGTTGTGGCTGATGATGATGATGTTGTTGTTGTTGATGATGATGATGATGACGATGTTGTTGTTGTTGGTGATGTTGATGTTGTTGTGGTTGATGATGATGTTGTTGTTGTTGATGATGATGTAAAAATGAATGTAAAAACATAGAGTGAGCCAAGAACAGCGAGCACTTTGAATCGTGTTTGCACTTTGCAGTATAACAATTTTCATTTAATTTTTTGGCTAATCAATAAACTGATCGTTCAACTAATCAATCATGTCATTTAAACAATCAACCAACCAACCGATCAATCAATCAACGATCCAACCAGCCAACCAATCACTGAATGAACTGACCAACCAACCTATATTTCCCCAACCAGCCGTCAGCAATCATTGCCCCAATGACAGGCGAGAAATAACAAAGAACAATAAATGTGTGGTAAATCGCCGTCGCCGCTTCTTTCTCGTAGTTTAAGGCTTTCCATAGAAAAATGACTAAGATAGCTGTTTGTTCGTGGGTTTGTTCTTGTTTTTTATATGTCATCAATCTTCATTGCCCTCATTATTGAGCATTTTAACATCACCACCATCATCAATGACGTCATTGTCATCATCACCATTCACCATTATCATCATCATCATAATCACCATCATCATCTTCACCTCGCATTCCATAGAAGGAAAATCTTTCGCAAAATTCATTAGCGAGAATTAAGAAAACGTGGAATGGGTAAGCCTGGATGGATGGATGGAGGGATGGATGGTTCGGATGGATGAAAAAATGAATGAATGAATGAATGCTGAACAAACGAACGAACAAACAAGTGAACAAATGTTTGTCACCTTTTTTTCCATTGTGACTTTATTCAGGACTCCTTAGTTCCTAGCTCAAAAACATTTCTTATATTTAAAAGCACATTTCAGCCAAAAAATCATATACAATCAAACAACTTTTTAAAAACAGCAAAAAATTTAAATTAGCAGAAATTTCATCAAAATAAATTATTTCATATCAACATTTGTTTCTAAATGTCATTCAGATGTTACTGCAAAGTTCTTCTCACAAGTGCACACACACATATGCCTTTTAATTATTATTCCAACTACACACATACATATATACATACATACATATATACTAACATACATACATACATACATACATACATACATACATACATACATACATACATACATACATACATACATACATACATACATACATACATACATACATACATACATACATACATACATACATACATACATACATACATACACATATTTACACATACGCATGCACGCATATTCTTTACGTTTGGTTGACGAAAGTCTTAATGAATGAACAAAAAGATGATTAAGTACTAGGTATGTCATACGTGTGTGTTGTGTGTTTTTGTTGTATGGGTAAAACTTAATGCTGAAATCGTCAACGATGATGATGAGGAGGATGAAGACGATGATGAAGATGATGACGATAAAAAAAGATGATCTTAGTGGTATTAATATAACATTTAACGTTGTTTTTCCTAGTTTATTAATGTTTATAAAACTCATTGGATTTAGCATAATTATATAATTTTCTTTTATTGTTATCTATATTTTTTTCAATCGTATTTACACACACTCACACACACATACACACACGCACACATACACACACGCATACACACACAAGCCAAGAGGCATGTTTAATATTGATGTTTATTTAATTTTTAAATGTAGTTTAGTGTGTTTCAGCTGGTTTGCATATAGTAAATATAATGTAATGTTTTGTTATCACTAAAACTTTGATGTTCAAATGTTTTTCAAAAATTTTAAATATAATTGTAACGAATTATTAAGTATTTTTTTTAATTTTTTTTATCGTTTTTAATAACGAATAACGACAATTAAATGTTGTTAATTATGTTTTGGCAGTACATTTCTTAATTATTCTAGAGAAAAATGATGTTAAAACTTAATATCGAACCGACAATTTGTTGATATTTAAGTTAAAAAATTATGTTACATTGCAATAAAATATTATACAGGGATAGAATGTACTATTACAGTGCTTGAAACATTCATTCATGTTTGTTAATAAAAGTTGAATTTGTTAGAAATTTTTAAAAAACTATTTGATTTCAATATTATATTTGAACAAAATTTTATTAAAATTTGTTAAACACTTAAAATCTGTTTACTTTTTTCATTGTTATATTAAAAAGTTGGACGTTAAATAAGATTTAAAAAGAAAATTAATTCAGGACTTGTTTTATTGTGGGGCCTTTTAAAAAAGTGAACTTTTTAGAGAAAAGTGAACCTAGTAAAAATTCAAAATGAAATGAAAAACAACAAAACATCGATCAAAATCAACAAAGTTTTTAAAAATTACGTTTCAAAATATTACTTCCATCTTTTAATCATGCGAAATTTACGTTGCCAAAAGGTTTTTCATTTATTTTTTTATATCTAAATTAAATTGTAAATTTTCAAATTTCAGTTTCTGTGGTTAGTGCTGTTAAGAAATTTAATTTATAATAAATGATTTTAATTCTCAATTGAATATAAAATAAAACTAAATCATAAAATGAAAAGTAATTAAATACCTGGAGAGGAGATGTTATCAAAAAAGAAGTCATCATCATCATTGTTGTTGGGTGATATTTGTGGCAAGTATATCAAGAGAAGAGATGATGATGATGCTACTGTCTTCAGTTATTGTTATAATGATGATGAGATGAAAATTTTGGAAAAATTTAAGTTGTTTATTATTTATTAATAAATTCTAATAACATTCTTACATAAACATGAGTACATTATTTATATAAAATATAAATAATTACATCTGTTGTAAAATTATTTATAGATAATTAAATTGATAATTAAATTTAGTTAACTCAAGTTTTAGTTAGTTATTTTATTTGATTTTTCCATAGTTAAGAATGGCTCCTCAGTAGCTGTACCAAACAAATACGCCCAACAAAACAACCATAAAACAATTGATACTAACTCTCCAAACCTAAACCAAATATTTCCTACAAAAAGTTATTTAAACGATGACATGAACAATTTGAATGAAATGTTCCAAAACTTCTCTATGAGGGAAAAACAACAACAATATCAACAGCAACAACATCAGCAGCAGCAACAACTAATAAACCATCAAAAGTTTATCATAACAAATTCTCATAAAAATATTGCCGATGTTGAAAATAACTCAGATGATGTCGGCATTGCTGTTGTCAGTGTTGCAAATGATGATCTTCCTAATGGCAACACTGTGCTTAGCATCAGTAGTGATCTGTCGAGTGAAGAGAATGAAAATTTACAAGTGTTTAAATTTTTTAATCTTTTTTCTTAAATTTATTGTTAATTCCACTTATAATTTTTTGATAATTTATTTTCATTGACATTGTGAGTTGTGCTATTTTATTTATCTTCATTACTTTTTCAATCAAAGCTATTTCCATTTCAGATTTTACTATACCATCGGCAGAAGCAGCAACAGTTTCTTCAACAAAAGCAGCAACAATCACAACTTCAACCACAACTACAACTTCAGCCACAACCACAACTACAACTTCAGCCGCAACTACAACTTCAACCACAACTTCAACCACAACTTCAACCAAAACTACAACTTCAACAAGAGGTGCAACAATTTTTTCCATCGCATCAGCAAATCTGCCACAACAGAAAGACAGCATGCAACGATCTACTGAAACATCAGCAGCATCAACAACAACTACAACTTTCAAGCATTAAGTACCAGGAAATGTTGCAAGAACAAATTGAACATTTTCAGGAGCAACAACTCTTGTTAAGGTTGAAGCAGATGGAGATTCAACAGAAACAACAGCTGTTGAGAAACCAGTTTCAACAGCAACAACAACAACAAAAAACATCATCTCAACAACAACAAAATAAACAAATTTTTAACAATCTGAAATTTTTGCAGCAACAACAACAACAACAACGTCAGTTTCAACAGCAAAACTTACTCTATCAGAATATTCTACCTATACAAAATCCATCATTTCAACAACACCATCATCAACAACAAGTTCAATTATTTCAACAACAACAACAAATACAACAACAACAAAAATGTTTAATTCCTCCAAATCCATATTTGAACACAGGTTTTTTGTTTTGTGACTTGTGAGATTTAATGGTAAATTATTTGTCAGAATGGAGAAAGTGAAAGATATGAAAAGAACAAGAGAGAGAGAGAGAGAGAGAGAGAGAGAGAGAGAGAGAGAGAGAGAGAGGAGAGAGAGAGAGAAGAGGGAGTGGGAGAGAGGAAGAGAGAATAATTATTTATATATAAATATAATATTTCTATAATTAAAAAATTTTTCAGAAATTCCAAAATGGCTGTCCATATATTACCATGCGCCATCTACTTATGATCACAAACTGAAGGTGATTTGTTGCTTGGCTGGCTGAATAATTAATTGATTGATTATTTGATTGCTTGGCTGGCTGAATAATTAATTGGTTGATTATTTGATTGCTTGGCTGGTTGAATGATTGGACTGACTAACTGACTGATTAATTGATTGATATTCTCACTCCTCAACCGCCAGTGGGACCTCTTTCACCTCTCAGACCTCGAGAAATACGACGGAATGTTGCTGAGACTGTTCAGAGAGGATCTCGAGAGATTAGTGATGCGCTACGAAGATTATAGGGAAGTGCTGCAGAACCATCTGGTCAATAGGTGACCTGGAAGATCAAGCTACTGCCTGATATTAATGAATTGATGTAAAGATGGATGGATCAGTGAATGAATAAATGAATAATTTGAATGAGTGAGTGAGTGTGTTTATTCGCGAGTCAACGAATCTATCAGTAGTGAACGGGTGAAAAAATTAATGAAGCGTAAGAGTGGATAGATGGACGAATGAGTAAATGGATGAGTGCATGAATTATGGAATGGATGAAGGAATGGATGGGTGAATTAGTGATAGCTCGAATGAATGAACGAATGAATGAATGAAAAAGTTTAGAGATTCAAATTTATTTTTGATTATAAGAACAAAAAGTTGGGTGGTAGACAATTTTTTGCTGACGAACTTAATCAATGGTTGTTGAGTTTTTATTCTCAAAATGATGGAGAGATTAATTTATTTCATTCTTTTATTTAGTTTATTCGGAATTTATTTATTATATAACTACTCATCTTTGTTCATCAATACTTATAAATGTGATATTTTTTTATAAAACAATCTTGCACGAATCAGAATTGTTTAGAATCAAAGTTACATGTTTATAATTGTGCTTGCAGCTGTAATTTATTTACAACATTTTTTCTAAAACTTTACTTATTTAAATCCACTTTTGTTTCTCGTCACCGAGCCCATCTTGGCAGCATCATAGCTGGAATGTTTTATATAATTTCATCATTGCATGTTGTGTTAATTTTTTCTTTGCTAATTTTGAGTTTTTTTTATAATTGAATAATTAAATGTCATTATTTCTTTATAATTTGTGTTTAATTGGTTAGAAGTGGATTTTTGTTATCATTAAAATAAGAATGTTTTGAACCATCTCAGCAGGCTGCCTTATACAAACTATGCAAGAACGTAAATGATGACAATTTGATTATTCATTATGTAATTAATTATTTATTCTTATAATATTAATAATTCATATTTAATTAATACTATTTCTGCCTATCTAAATTATAGTGTATTTTTGTTGTTGATTTAAAGTTTTGATAATTTTAATGCCAAAGTTTTTTAATCATCTCATTTTTATATGAAAATTTTTCTAATTCGTTGAATGTTTATAAATGTTTCGTCATTTAAGTTAGAAAATTTTTAAATTTGCAACTGGAGACGTGTGCATGCGGTGGTGATGCTCTTGCATTTTTTGGTTTCAAAATGTTTGTTGTAGAGGAATGTTTTTAATGTGTCGCAGTAAAGGCATCCAAGATTCATTTAAAATAATTTGCATGCAATTTTGTTCTAACTAATTTCATTTTTATGCTATTTTAAATAATTATTGTAAAATTTCAGTGTTCTGTGATTTTATTTGCCGAGGACTGAATGTTGCTAGAAGTTCTTACTTTCATCTATGTAGAATAAAAAACTTTTGCCTTTTCTTGACGATCCTACTTTTCTCCTTCTTGTTACTTCTTTAGTTTTATTTATGATTGATTGCTTTAACTCGCTCTACTATGGCCTTCCTGATTCTACACTCTATCTTTTAAGTAAATTTTAACTTAGCTGCTATGGAATTTCTAACTTTAACAGTTGCTCGTGCCCATTTCTTTTCTCATATATCTTCATATCTAATTCTTTTGCACTGGTTGCCTATAAAATATAGAATAATTTTTAAAATTTGCACATTTATATATAAGTCTCAATCTAAATCATTTCCCAAGTACTTATCGAATTAATTATTAATTGAACCTAAACGTCCCGGTTTGCGATCGTCTTCTTGTTCTCACTTTTACTTTACCCATGTTAAACACTTTTTTGCAAAATCTGCATTTGCTTTTTCTGGCCCTGTTCTCTGGAACTCCCTACCTCCTTCTCTGACTACTTCTCCATCACAAGTTCAGAGCGGATCTCAAAATCCTTCTGTTTGCAAAATTTATTAAAGAGCGTGAACATGGCAAAAATAGCGCTTTATAAACTAATTGATTGATTAATTGATTGATTGGTACCTTATATTCTGTCAGATGTGAAGCGCTAATCAAATTAATTTAATTGTTTTTTTGGTTGTTTAGTTAGACCACCTTCAAGGTTGTTTCGAGTGAGTTTTGTTTTTTTTGCTGGTATAATTATTAAATTTCTTTCAGTTGAATCTTTTCTAATGTTTTCTTTTAATTAATTTACAAATATTTAAAAACTTGTGTGGGTATTTGATTATTTTATTGTAATAATTTCAGCGAAATGAACGTTTTCATTAGGAACTTAGTGATGTTTCTTATTAAAAGTTCACTTTTAAATTTTAGTTAATTTTTTATTGAAATCTAAATGTTCATTTTTCAACAAAAGAATTATATTAAAAATAATTTTATTATACCAACATCTCCAGAATCTGTTCAATTTTTTGTTCATTTTAATTTTGAAAACAAAAAAAGGTTTCTTACATGAACTCGAAGTTGAATTTTTTCGTGGCCCTGTTCAGAAGAAATTTTGTGAGCATCGCCTTCCCATCTTGTGTTTGTTGGTCCATCTACGCAGATTGGTCACACACCAGAAATTACAAATTAGCGAAAGCCAGGGAAGCCATTAAGGATAGTGAATTGATCACGTATGTTTAGTCATCTTTTTGTGTTTACTTGTTTTTTAATTTGCTTATGTTTCATTCCATGTTAGTCTTTTCTGTTGAAGTGAGCTGCAGCTTAATGATATCTGATGTACACACATATTACATATATAGATATGTAATGAGTCCTAATTATGGCTTTGTATTGAAACAAAACTTTAAATAAATTTTCAGATCGTCTTAAATTAAAGTCAGAAAATGCCCTTCATAAGGCCAGGTGCCCTAACAAAAGATTTAGTGAACAAATTAGTGTCGGTGGGAGTGCCCATGTCGGCATTGGTTGTTGGTTGGTACCTGGATAAGTTGAACGACGAGAGGTACAGGTCATATCATAACAAGAGTGCCCTCTATGGAGGTAGGGATCTCAAACCTGGTGAAAGATTGTGGTGATTTAAAGAAAAACTCTTGTTTAAATATGGAAAAAATTTTAAATTTATTGGAGGTCGTAGAAATGTTACTTTGTGTTAATGGTTGTTCTTATTAATTAGATCCATAGAGCAATATTTTGATGTCTGAATGTTGAAACAAATTGAACAGTAGAGTGAATAGTTGTAGAGAGTGCATTCAATTGGTTTTCATTTTCTATTCAATAAATAGAAAATAAATTGATGTGGTTCGTTTTTTTTTCAGTTTTCATATAAAATGTAATAAATGTAACATCAATACGTTATACACACAGGCTTCTTAATTAGTTTAGAATCAGAGAATTTGTTGGTTTTTGACCATGTTCTTTTAAACTAGTATTGCCCTATAATATTCGGTGTCGGTTAAGATTTGAATTCAAATGTATTAAAATCGTTATTTTTCATTCGTAATAACGAATGAATGAATTAAAATCGTTATTTAACCGATTCATCGTTTTTCTGAATTTAGTTTGAAACCGATATGCTGTTTAAACTGGAAAAGAAAATGATTTTACCAACACTGATCATATTCTTCCTATTACAAACATGATGTAAGCAAGAGCAACAAATGCCTCAGACGTTCGTCCTAGTCTGTATTTATGTGTTTGGAGAGTTAATATAATATAACGACGACGCAAATGCCTTTAGACCGAAGTTTAGACCAACTGCTATATTTCAATTCTTGTGCGTGATTCGATGGTACTGTTTAAATATACATAAAAATGACTCTTGGTAATACGTTTCTACATACTGTCAGTCAAACATTCATTGTTAGGGTCTGCATGGTTCGCTTTGTAAGGAGAATTCCTTAATAGTCCTTGCTATGAAATAACTTTCTTTCATATGAACAAAAACAAATAGAAGGCGAATGTGAGAAAGATATTTTTATTACAATTAAATATTTCCAATTCAGAGGGGGAGGGGTAAGAAAATTTATGAAATAAATTACGAAGATGATAATTTACCACGTTGAAAAACAAGTAACGATGAATAATAGTGCGAATTCTGAATGAAAATGTTCAAATGAACAGCAAAACAATTCCAAATATTTGTAATCTCTTTGAAGATTCAACAAGATAAATAAAATAAATGGAAAAATAATTTAGAGTAACACATAAATTTGTCAGTTATGATATATATATATATATATATATATATATATATATATATGATATATATCTATATATGATATAATAAATAAATAAATTATATATATATATATATAGAGAGAGAGAGAGAAATATTTAAGATGGTATATTGAATATAATATGGTATATTACATAAGTTTCTTACCTCAATTTTTACAATAAATTCTAGATTAATAATTATAACATTTTTTCATTTTATTATTTATAATAATTATAAAATTATGAATTTAAAGACTGGAGAAGAGAGAGAGAGAGAGAGAGACGAAGAACATATAAAATAACTATTTTAAGATCTACAATGATAACTATAAATAGGCAAAATGTAAAATAAGATCTATCTATCATTAGCTTTAATGGTATCATCATCGTCATCATTATTATTAAATATTCATAATTTTCAATAAAAAATAAATAATCTTATATGAAAATAATTAAAAAATAATAATAAACGAAATATTTAATAATAATAATACAGATAGAACAATATGTGATAAAACGGTTTTATACCAACGAGACGATATTATTATTATTTTTATTATTGTTGTTGTTGTTTATTGAAATGTTAAAATGATTGTTATTGTTGGTGCCGTCAAAAGTACAATGTAACTATTATAACGCTAAACAAACAAATAAATTTACCATTTATTATCTAAAGAACCAACAAGTAGTGAATGAACGAACGAACGAACGAACGAATGAATGAATGAATGAATGAATGAATGAATGAATGAAGAAACAAGAGTAAGAAGAAAGAATGAATAAATTAATTATAAAATGAACGAGTGATGAAAAGATCGTAAAAGTACAAAATAACATTATGAAAGTCAATAAATAATTCTAATCTCGCTATTCCTACAATAATAATAATAACAACAATAACAATAATAACAACAACAATAATAATAGTAAACTATTTGTTAAATATATACAAGACAAAATTTAATCTATCTCTATCAAAATATCTACAACAGCCACAACAACAAATTTGAATTACAACAAGAATAAAAATAACAATAATAACAACTGCAATAATAATAATAATAATAATATAATAATAATATTATTATTATATAATATTATTATAATTATTACTATTATTGTTATTATTATAACCAAAAATTTGTCAAATGCTTTTGAAAATTTTAAAAATTTACATCAAAATGGTGAATTAACAATAGAATATCCAAACGAACGAATGAATGAACGAACGAATAAACAGACGAACGAAAGAAGAAAAACAGATCTTTGAATGACTGCAAGAAGTAAGTAAATGAATAAAAAAAACAAACAAATGAACGATGAAATAAATGAAACTTCTCAACAAACATAACCAGCGTCAATTATGCAGCATTAGAGTAAATATATATATATATATATATAAATAAATTACTGTTATTATTATTGTTGTTAGTGTTGTTGTTGTCTACGATTTCATAATTGTTGTTGTTGTTGTTGTTGTTGTTGTAGCGATCGTCAACAAAGTCGTCGTCATCGTCATTTTCATTTGTGTTATTATGGCTATTAATAAGATTTACATTTATACAACTTCTACTACTTCTGCTACTATTACCACTACTTACTACTACTACTACTACTACTACTACTACTACTACTACTACTACTACTACTACTATTGCTACTACTATTACTACTACTACTAATACTATAATTATTATAATTTACAAGCGAACGAGTAATACGGTGATGAATATGAACATAACCACCACTACCATCCCCACCAATACTACTACTACTACTACTGCTGCTGCCACTACTGGCGCCACTTCTACCACCGTTACTACTGCTGCTGCTGCCACTACTGTTATTACTGCTTCGATGATTGTGACGGTGGTTACGACGCCGATGAGGTTGATGACCTGCATTGGTGGCCATTGCACCATCTCTTGACGACGATGCAGCCTCTGTGACAGACGTCGACGATGACGTCACTATCGAAATCGTTGACGTCACATCTTTTTTCTTAGCTCCTCCTACTAAAGCCGAAACTCCGGCTCTCTTGATCTGCGAGCACTCGCAGCCGACGACAGCTTTGTAGTGGGAGAAGCTCCAGCTCTGCTCGAAGACCGTGCTGGAGTTTGCAAACTTGCTGATGAGGGGCAGCGGGTTGCAGTGGCCGACATTCTTCGTCATCATATTAACGGCGTACTTTCTGGCTCTGCACTCGTACAATCCGTCCATGCATTGTTTCTGAAGACACCTGCCCGACATGACGTAGGGGGGGTAGGTGTTCGGAGGCATCGGGACCCACTGCTTCTCCAGGTGGCAGTGCCATGGTGGTTTGACGTTGGAGGGGTCGTGCTGGTGGTGGTTGTGGTTTTTGAAGTTGCTGTCCTTACTTTTATTCTGTTTGATTTTTTCCTTGCGATGCTTCGCTGTCGTTGGTCTGTTGACGTTCCTACGCGTCGACCTCGCCGAACGAACGCGCCTCTCTCCTTCTGTCGTCCCCATTGTTGCGGCTGCTGTCGTCCTAGATCTGCCTTCGTTATTATTATTATTATTATTATTGTTGTTGTTGTTTTTGTTGTTATTCTTATTAGAATCTTCATTAACAAATGATGTCTCCATTTTCGCCATCAATGTGTTAGTTGGTCTTGCTGCGGTTGTGACGTCATCTTCTACGTCACCATCATCATCATCGTCATTTTCCTTTTCATCCCCTTCATCGTCATCGTCGTCAATTGTATCTGATGACGTGTTCGTGACGTCATCATTCTCATCGTGGACACCCTCATCAGAGTTGTCGTCGTCGTCGTCGTAAGACCGTTTAAAACGAGATCCCGGAGATAAATTGTTGTTGTTGTTGGAATGTTTTAAAGCTCCCTCGCCCTCGCCGCCAACATCTGCATCATCACTAACACCACCGTCCTCACTTTCATCGTCCCTTTCCCCACTTCTACCACCAAAAGCGTCATCATCGTTATTATTATAATTGTAATTATTATTATTATTATAAATATTATAATTATTATTAATCTTCTTCTTCTTCTTCAGACCTGCACGCATGTTCGTCTGCTTCTGCATGTAGTTGAGGAACTGTCCTGGATCAATTCTCTGCCACAGAACCACACTTGGCATTGGTTTGCAGTTCGGAAATGACGAAGATGACGATGTTGTTGTTGCTGTTGTTGCTGATGACGTAAGCGAGTTTGTCGTCGGATGAAGTTTTGAAGTGGCAAAGTTGTGGTTGTGGTGGTTGCTACGTAGGTTCCTGCGACTGATAGAGCGACGATGACGATTTGATGGTGACTGCGATATTGATGATCGTGATAACGACGATGATGATGATTGTGGGAGTGATGACGACGACGAGTCGTTATAAAACTCGGAAATATTTTTTGAAAAAATATTCAAATTGTTTTCATTTGCGTCTGAGGTAGTTTCAACGCTTGCTGGATACGACGACGATGATGATAATGATGTCAATAGTGATGATGATGAAAACGAAGATGACGACGATGATGATGACGAAGATAGCTGAGTTGGCAACGAAAGCAACTCCTTCTCTCCACCATCTACGTACCGACCACTTCCGCTTCCAGACTCAACCGGAAATGGATTGTTGATCTTGCTGTCACCAAGACGACGCCGTGATGATAACGATGATGATGATAATGATGTTGCTAGTAGAGTTGGTGGATGACGATGATGTTGCTGGTCGATGAAGATGTTATTCAATGCATCCAACTGCATGCCTTTGTGTCTGAGAATACTACTACTAATACTATACTTATTATTATTAATAACATCATTGTCATAATTCTTTTGACTATCACTACTATTACAACTCTTAATATTACTGTTGTTGAACGTTACAGACGTAACTGAATCAGATGTAATACTAGCATTAGTTAGAAGAGTTTTAGTAGTAGAAGAAGTGGTAGCAGCAGTTGTTGAATATGGCAAATTAATACTGGTATTGTTATAATTGTTATCGGTTGATGCAGCATAAGCAACAGTTAGATTTTGGTTAGTTTGTAGAGCGTTGAACAAATATGTAGCAGTAAGATTAGATGGATGTGATTTGAGATTAGATGGATGTGATTTGAGATTAGATGCATGTTGAACGTTCAGAAGGTTCCAACTGAACGATGGGTGGTTCTTCAGAGGTGCCACAACCTCAACCGACATCAAAACCATTGTAATCATCAGCGCTTCAAAATTCTGCTGGATGGATGTATGTTTAAATGTGTGTGTGTGTGTGCGTGAGTGTATGTATGTTGGTATGTGTGTATATGTTTGTATGTGTGTGTGTGTATATTTGTCTGTAACGTTTGACACTTCACGCCGATGTGGAGAGAGTATTTGAGAAAGTTATGAAAGGTTTTTTTTTGTTGTAAGTAGAGACATAAAAACAACAAAAATATCAAGTATGTTTATGGCATTGCAGCATTAATGGATAAATGAATAGTAGACTGATGAATGAAAAACATTCAGACAGACACACACACACACACATTCAGACAGACACACACACACATTCAGACCGACACACACACACATTCAGACCGACACACACACACACATTCAGACAGACACACACACACATTCAGACAGACACACACACACATTCAGACAGACACACACACACACATTCAGACAGACACACACACATACAGACACACATATTCAGACAGACACACACACATACAGACAGACACACATACAGACAGACAGACACACACACACACACACCTATATATGATATAAACGTGCGTGTGTGTGAATAAATTTAAGAACAATTGTTATTGGAAAGGTGATTTGTATCAAAGCTTTTTACATCAGACAGGAGGAAAGTGATGATGGCGACGAAGATGCTGTTGTTGTTGCAGTGTTTGCTGATGATGTTGTTGGTTCTGGTGATGATACATAAGTTTGTATATACATACATTGAAACATATAAGCACACACACATACACATAATGTATCGGCGATACTTTTGACGCCAAGTATCTAACTTAATAGCGCTGGTACTTAAACTTATAAAATGCTTGGATAGTTAGAAGATAGTTAGAAGATACTTAGAAAAAAAATCTACACTGGATGCCAATAATTTGGAACCTCACGTAGATTTTTAATCATATTGCAAGCTTTTGCGCGTTCTTTAAAATGTAAACTCGTGATTCAGAAACTCGTGATTCAGAATTAAGTTTTGTCGTCTCTGGCATGTCTTCTTTTTAAAAATTTGCTATCTGTCCGCTGATTCAAACTACTTATCGTTGTGAGGTCATTTCCATGTTATATATTCACTGCCAAATGCATTAATATGAATGAAATTTTAGTTGTTTTGTTTTCCTGTTGTAACGTTTAAAAATTATAAATAATTTTGGCGGGCAATACCTTCAACAATGAGTATCGGTATTCGTATCGATATTCGTATCGGCAATAGATTTGAAAACCGGTACCGGTATTTGCGATACAATACTTGAGAAATGCTAACTTTGGTAGCCAGGCTCATACAAACGATGATGCCCATCCACTGTTCATACGTGCATGGAAGAATGAACAACAACATTGAAACAATTTACAATTTATGAATCTTTATAAGTGCTTATCATGATGACGATTATGAGAAAAAGGAACGAGAGAGAAGAGAAAGGAGAGAGAGAATTGTTTGACCTGCAGAATAATATTTGTACCCATAGTATGTCTGAAGGAACGGAATGAATTTCACAATTATATAAAAAGCGAAATGATATGGAGAAGCATTCATTCATTCATTCATTCAATCATCCCCACACTCATTCCTTCTCTCATTTATTCACCCATCTCCACGTTCCCTCTTTCATTCCTCCACCCATCCATCCTTCCTTACATTCAATTAACGTTCATGGAAAGCAGCTTGTAGTTTCAATCAATCACTCATTTTCCCATTATATATATATATATATATATATATATCTATTATATATAAATATATATAATATATAACGTATTTACTATATGTTATATACATATATGACTTGAAGTGAAATGATTAAAAGTGAATATAAATATTAAACATTTACTTTAAGGCAATTAACAAGACAAGATAACGATGATTGTGATGATGACGATTGCGATGATGATGGTTATGGTAATCATTGTGGTAATGATGATGATAAAGAAGATGATTATGAAGCAATAAAAAATTAGTGTGGTGGTTGAATAATGATATCAAAAGCATTTTATAATGAGGCCATATATTTCTTGATGCCTTTTTATTTTTCTCCATCCTTAAAACACATTTTTACATTCCCTGTTGCTAATTATTTTTGAAAAATAGAGAAAGAGTGAAAAATGAG